CATCGGTGCTCTGTCGTTTCTGGTGTCCTTGACCTGGACTGTCTTATTCGGATGAGGATTCGAGCGGATGGAGGAACGTGGTTTCGGGCGCCCTTCGTCGTCGTGTTCTCGATGAGAGGAAGTTGCAGCTGATTGGAGCCGTCCAAGTGGGGATGAACAATGAAGATATCCAGCACTGTCGAAGATCTTCAATCAAGTTTGGGACACAAGAGCTTCCAGTCAAAAAATGGTCTTTATATATTGTTAGGAGTGCAAGGTCAGGGTAGGTGTCAGCGTTCGGGTGTAGGAACAGCTTGCCTCGTGATCTTCAACGCCAGCTGCTTAAGAGGATCCAGAATCGGCTTTCGAGGCATATATCTTGTGGGCAAGCCTGCCGCCCAGCTTGGTCTAGAGGGGGACCGTTCTGATGGGCGATACGTTGCACAAGAGCAGTCCAGCGGCTGGTCTAGACGCCCGAACGACTTCGGTCTGCACATCACCAGCTTCTTGGGTCCTGAGACTTGCAAGCTATGTTTGTACATACGTGATTCCGTGCGTCTTCGTTCGTCGTTGTTCTGGGATTATTCTAAACCCTGCAGTGTTTGTATTCCGGCGGTGTTGACAGTCAGATGGGTTACTCTTACAGAAGTATATCACCATGAGCCGCCGGGATGTTGAGACGCTCAAAGTGTTGACTGTTATTTCACGCTGAGGAATAATCAACTCAAGCATCAATCGGCTTTGTGATTTGATCGTAACAGAGGGAGAAAAGCTCTTATAGACTCTGCGATCGCCACTCGGTTTCGCCAGGTCGCCGTCCTTAAAGAGCACTTCGACATCCGTGGCCCCATCCATCTTTCGGCCCAAGAGGCGTGAAAGTGCTCGTTACCGCTGATGCGCTCAAGATTCTCCATTGACATTCACAGTTAAACCTCAATTCATCTAGAATTACCCACAACATGCCGTTATAAGAGTAGGCCTTATAGTCATCAGCATAGTCCTTAACTAATTCCAAAATCTCCAGGGAGACAAGTGCCACGAGGTGCTTCCTGCGTTCAGCGGGAGCCTTTAGCAAAGTCCAGGTATGTTTACGGGGATATTCAGAGTTGCTGTGATGTGTTGAGCAGCCAACATGTTCTGGCTAGGGACCTGTTTGCTGTCGTCGACTGTTGTTGTCGTTCTGAGACTATTCGGGCTGGTATTCGGTCGTACGGGGCGTCGTCGCCGGTTCCAGAGCTTTCAATGTTTGAGCATGCATGCATTCAGTGCGGTAGAAGTGGTAGTTGGTGTGGTGGTTGGGGTATCGTAGACTTGTCTCGAAGCCCGCAGCGAACAACCTTCTGTGCATGAGATGGGCTGGGCTGGCAGAAGGAAATCTCTTTATATCAGACTGGTCTGAGAAAAGACGACAGACAAAGTTCTATCCAAGTTATTCTTTGAGCCGCTACTATCTTGCTATTCAGATACCATGATCGCGGCTGTTTCGCGGCTGTTTCGCGCTGCTTTGAGGGCTAGGATGATTGCCCATATGGACGACTACTCGCAACGACCGCTGGACGTCCAATAGCTCTATCAAGCTGCGGTATGTCGTCGTCGTCTTCCTCGTCTATCACTCTGGATGTATCTCGTTTTATTCATGACGGTGTGTTCACTTGCTTACATGCATGGCAAAGCGATACCTGTCATCTCACTAGTACTACCCGCAACTCCGAGCCGATCATGGTCGAAATTCTGATTTCACTTGTTCTAGGTTGCGTGCCAGAGCCGGACATGCTATCTGTTATCGAAGTTGTCTCCAATTTCACACATTTGCTTTATATCCCTTATGATTTGCGCTGGAGTGTCTCGTTTGTTGATGGTTCGTCTACCCAACGCGGAAGATCCATTATATTTGTCTGTGTTTTCCCGCAATGGACAGTATATAAACCTTTTCGCGAAGATACTTGTGGTTTTGAATCTCAGACTCTTCAGTCTTGAGTGTTTTGTACTCTTTGGACTGTGCTTATAGTTTCTTTTCCAGCTCCTTAGATTTGCTGAGCTTCTTCTTATACTTCTCGCGCTTCGTTTTTTGCTTCTCCACCTCCATGCGCTCGGCGTAGGTAAATTGATCCAAGTCATCCCGGAGAACTCTCGTTCATCAGTGGCCCTCTTGAGTTATTCGAAGTTGTTCATGGCGGTCTACTCTAGATCATGTATACTTTCAGCGATAAGTCGTTGGTGTCTTCCCGGTGTTGATTTGTGTCTTTCCATCTGTTCCGCAAAGGCTGTGGTTCTTCGTACGAAGGGGCAGCAGGATGCTCTTAACCGGCTGTCCCTGAAGCTAGTCGGCCAGAGATATTGCGCGAAGGTTTTCGTTGGAAGACGAAGCAATGGTCAAGATGTACTGAGATTGTATTGCGACTTGCTGAAGTTGCGTCATCTTATCTGATCTGATGATCGTGTAGAATCAAAATACCCATTGCTTCAATTGTCATGTCGTCCAAGCCCGCATCAATTCATGGAACACCAGAGGTCCCTCTCCAGGTCAGCTTCGAAGAATCTCTCGCACTGGTCTGTGTACTCAAATAAACCGCCCTGGCTTTGAGTCTCACATTTACTCGATCGTGCTTCTAGATTTCGTGATTATCTAGGTCAAAGGCGGAGTGATAACTTCTAAAGAAGACATGTTAACATCATAGTCCGAGAAGCCGCAAGGTGGCAGCTCGGTAGTTGACAATTTCATTGTCAGAAGGGTTTCTGTTCTCGTCGTCTAAGAAGCTTCAAACATACTCAGGATCCAGCTTACTCCTTTGGCTGTGTCTACGCAAGGTCTCTTCTAAGGTTCTTCTCTGTTGGTCGAAGGTGACGATATCGCATACTGAGGGGATAATTTGGGCGCGGCGGCCGCGTTAGTTGCAGCGTTGTGGCCACACATGGGCGTCGTCGTAGTCGATAAACTTAGCCCTACTCTGAAGACAAGTATTCAGAGTCCCTGAGGCCACAAATTTCATTGTTGCTGGAAGCAGCGGCAGTGATGTTAACTTCGAGTCGCATCTTCATCTGAAACTTTGATCTAAATAGATCAGAAATGATGCTTCAACAGACTGAATCACTTCACTTTCCAGAATATTGATCGCGCAGTTGAGTTCACCTGGGCGGTGGGGTTGTGAGATTGTTTACTGAGCATAGGCATGTGGTGTCTGCCTCACAAGTTGTCAATACACGACACTGTTGCCATGGGCGAGAAGTGCGACGTTGCAGAGTCATGGCGAGAAGTCGTCTGGGTGTATCAAAGATCTAAGTGGCCGACTTCACTGGACCAAAGACAGGAAGGGGATCAAGTGACTAAGAAAATGAGGAGGCTGGTGTCGGGAAATGGCGTCCAATTGTCTCGGCGCCATGTCGTTTGGTTTGGAATGCGTCCAAGATCGGGTTTAAATGTCGGGTAATACAAATGCTCAGTGGCACAAAAGCACAAGACTCTTGAGACTGTGGGCATGGTGCTTGAAGCCAGCTCGCCCAAGGCGTAAGGTCGTCCATAAGGTCGTCCATGAGACCTTCCATTCCAAGCCACGGGCCCATCGACCACATGGCATTGGCTTGATCTCATCCTCGGACTAGATGGGCTCATGCAGGATGACCAACATCTCACAATAGTGCCGAGGCTAGTGACGAAGCTGACTCTTGCGTGCCATGCGGTGCTGGTATATGATTGTCGCTAAGAGCGCCAAACCGTTGAAGCTACGGCACACGAAATCGTGGCTATCGGTGTCGCTAGACGGAGCGGACGGCCGTGGGGGGTCGTGGAAGAGGGGCAAGGTTCGTCGGACCGCGCCACAGCCGCTTGGAGTGCACCGAGTGCCCTGGGCTGCACCGTGTTCACTGTCCGTGGCGGCCGGCGATTGTGGACCATCAGGCCGGGCCTCCCACGTGACTGGTCGTCGCTTTATCGCAGGACTATGACGCCAGCGCCTTTCCCGATCCGGACTGGCCTGCGATCTTGCACCCTAAGCGAAGAAGCCTGAGATGCGAGATTCTTGAGTCGATAACCGCTTTGTAGTGAGCTGGTCCAGTCCGAACATGTCCGGCCGTATCAAGAAAGGGATCCTAGATGAATCAGAAGCGAGTATCAACCCCTTTCTGAGGTGAGAAGTCAGGGACAAGCAGCCCCGGTTCTTCCGTCGTCATTGTAAGAAGTGCTGCTTGCTTCGCTAAAGATGGAAATGGCGCTAGGTCATTTCAGTGGATAGCGCACTGTTTGTCATTCCTAGGTACCACCTGCAGATCCTTTGCAAGGCCGCCATGCTCGGTCAGCAGGGTGGGTGAGAAATGGGAAATGGGTGTTGAACTGGAAGCTTCCGTCATTCCAGGTTCCTTCTGGTCAGAATTTTGGTGGTGTTTCGGTCGCCCTGTCGAGCACCTCAGACTGGAGAGCCAGCCCCCAGCCCAAACGAAACGAAGCCCAGCCTCAACGAGCCCTGGCCGCCTGCCTGCTTGGGCTTGCTGCAGCACCCGCGCACCCGCACACCCGCACCCGCTCTTGCACTTGCACTGCACCTGCACCAGCTCCAGCCATGGTTCCCATCCTGAACTAAACTAAATCACCCCGATTCACGTTCTCAATCCTACGGCCCGTCCTTGGAAGACGCCATTTCCCAACCTTCCTTTCCCCGTTCTGTCGTATACATCGTTTGTATTCTTCCAGTGCGGTCTTCCAGAGCGTTTTAATTCAAGCACCTTGCTGTTTACCTCGACGTCCCGTCGCACACTCGCTTGCCTCGCTACATATAGGCTCCTGTTTGACCGACCCTCCCACCGTGACGACGACGGCGACTACGACCGTTAGACACCCCGACCGAAGGTCTTTTTCTGCCTAAAATCGACACAGATAGACTCGAATTCGCCCTCGAAGGACAGCCTTTATTCTTCCCCGTCCTTCACCTCCGAAAACTATCACTCGACTACTGTTATCGTCTTACCCTGCGACCGCGAAACACCAACCGCTCGAACCCCATAACATCGAACCCAGGCGCGCCGCCAGCATGCGTCGCCCTTCGGTAGACCTCACCGATGCGTCGCGCAATCTCGAAGAATCAGTCGGCTCTCCATCGTCAGATTTCGACGCCGGCGATGTCGACCTTTCCATGCCACCGAATTCCGACGAGGAAATAGACGACGACGGTGACGGCCGCATCTTCACCCCGCCTCCGCACATTGCGGCGCGGTTTTACAGGCCGTCTCAGGCTCGTCGCAAGGACTCAGCTGCCTCGTCCCGCCGCAATTCCATCTCATCCGCCCACTCCCGCTGCTCGTCCACCCAGACTTTTTCCCGCCACGGCGCTCCCCAGAGCAAGCATGTCGCACAGCACCTCCGGCGCACGTCCTTCCTCGAGGACCGAAAAGCGCGCCTCGCGGACCGAGCTGCCCATGCAGAAAAGGTTCGTCTGAGGGCTGCCGCCATGGCCAAGGCCAGCCACCGAGATGCCTCGCTGTCCGAGGAGCGCGCCATCGCTGCCCAACAAGCACGCGAGCGGAACCTGGCTGAGATCGTGGCATCTTGTGCCGAGGAGGTCAAGAGGGCCAAGGCTGTTGCCGAGACCATGAAGGAGAAGAGGGAGCAGGAGCTGGTCAAGTTGCGCGTGCAGATGGAAGAGCGCCTAGCCGAGGCTGAGAGGAGGAGAGAAGAGCTCAAGAATCGAAACACCAAGAGAGTGCGAGGTCAGAGTTTAGTGGCTCGGAAACCCGCCGAATCCCTTCCCAAGCTCACGGAGAAGGATACTCCGGCGTTGAGTGAGGCTGCCGCTGCTGCAAGGCTGCAGTGGTGGTGGAGGCGCATCCTGAGGAAGAGGGCAGTTACCGAGTTCTCCGAGTTGGGTCTTACCATCGACGGCGTACGAGACACATCCTTTGACAAAGTCCTGGAACTTTTGGCACAAGAACAGGTGGTTGTTGGTACCGCCCGCATCCTCCGAATCTGCGGTCTGCAGGAGGGCGATCCGAAATCCGTCGACGAGATGGCTGCTGTGCGAACTTTCCTCAGCGCCTTTCTCATCCTGGGCCATCCCACGCAGGTTCTTAGCAACAAGGACGGCACGGGGGAAACGGAACAGGTTGGATTGCTGCAGCCTCAACCGATACCCCGTGATGACCTTGCTAACCCGCAGCTGCAGGACCTCGTGACCAAGGCCCGAGATCTTTTGATTTCTTTCGAGAACATCATGTCGCGATTGACAGCCGCGAACAACTACACCCCTCCTCCGAGCTTGCGAAGCGCACTGCCCGAGATCTATGCCACCTTCTACAACGCCTTCCTCGCCTGGAAGTCGCGCGACTCGGAGTCACTTGTACAAGTAATGCTCATGCAGTTTGTTGAGTTGGACTCGATCTTGCAAACAGTTCAGGACAACACAGATGTCGTCGCTGCCGAGCAATATCGAGAAAGTATTAAGAGCAACCAGATCCAGCTCATTGTTAGGATCAAAAAGCTCGCTGGCCAGGAGAAGGGCAAGAAGCTAATTGCCGATGCCGTTCGCAAAGCACGTAAGGCGCGTGCGGCCAAGAAACCAACTGGAGATATGAAGCCTCGCGTCGCCGACAATGCTCCCGGAGAAGCGTCTGCCACAGCCGAGAGTCTTGTATCGCCGCCAGAATCACAAACGTTGACGCCGCCGCCGACCCCGGCTAAGGGCCATGTCAAGCCGCAGCCCATCGAGATGAAGCCAGGCTTCAGTGGTTTGCTGCCAGACAACCGTATCGTGGTCCACGAGCTTGCCATCAACCGGGAATACCGAATTCCTGCCAGCGAATTCCGGGAACACCGTATGTCGCAGCAGATCCCTCTATTCGCTACGATGCGATTCAACTTGGCGCAAGACAATCTGGATGCCAGCTTTGAAATCTTTGTCATCATGATGACATACTTCAAGGACAACCTCCAAAGGCTGGTGAAGCCCGGCGCCTACATGCACAACACGATTGGAGAGATACTTGACGTGGAGGTAGCCAAGCGCCAGTTCCAGATGGGAAGTTTTTCGTACGAGAAGTTCTTCGCCTCCATGGCATCCCTCCTGCCGAAACTGTGTGCGCCATGCCGTGATGACGAGGCCAAGGATCTGGTCACCAACAAGCTTCACCAAGGAAGCTTGGTCGATCGCGTCGAGGCACTTACAGAGTTTGTCGACCTGATGCTTTGTGATTACGTTAATTACATCTTTTCCACGGCGGCTCCACAGCTGATCGAATCTGCCCCCGAGTATGAAAAGAAGCGGTTTAGCGCCGCGCTGCAAGCTGGCGAACACACCTTGGAGGCGGCAGAGGCAGTGTGGCGATCAGCTCGTTCCAAGGTGGTGGCCGAGGTGCGCAAGCGAGACCCTGAAGGCATCAATCACCCCAAGTCTCGCCCTACGGACGACAAATACTACGCGCAGATGCTTGTTGACTGCTTCACCCAGCCGGCGCCAATTTCGAAGGAGAAGGTACCCGAGATGTTGCTCCTTGACTACAAGCGGATGTCGCGGTTGTCACTCGCCTCGCAACGAATCGTCACCACGGGGGCGATCTTGCTGCAGTGCAAGAATCTCCTTAAGCGTGACGTTCGTACACCATGGAAGACGGAGGCAACGCGAATTATGACGGTGCTCGACACGGATCACGACAACATTGATTCTACGGTACAGGGAGTCATGGCGGCTCTCGAAGGTGGACGATCAATGCCGGCGGCGACCAAGACACACCTCAGGGCTCTGGTTGCCAAGGTGCTCAATGCCAGCCAAGACTCGATCAAGAAGGGCGTGGAGCCCACGGAGCCAGTACTCCGTCTTCTCCTCGCCCGTCTCCGTGGCCACCTCAATACTAGACTTGCGGCTGGTTCAGCTAAAGAAAAGGTCAACGCGGCTACGACTGCGCAGGAGAAACTTGCCGGGCTGGGTTTGGCCGAATTCGCAGTACAAGTTAGGGAGATGCTCGACGAAATATCCAAGGTTGGGGCTGTAGACAGGGCGGCCCACGGATCGTGGTGGAACGAAGTAGCGGCCAAGGTTGCTGCGGAAGCTGAAGCGGCCAGCAGTTCCTCTTCCTGAGGTTATGACGCAGAGGACGGACACTCATGGTACGATATACGAGTAAAGGAGGATGCATTCTTCAAGACTCTCCTTGATGACATGATGATGTACTTGTTTGGGCTCAACTGGGACCGGCGTTAGAGGAGAGTTGGTTGGTTTCGACACATTTTCCAAGCATGGGATGAAGCATTGGGTTGAACAGCGATCCTTTGCCGGGATGGATTTCTAACAGGAAGGATACACACGCACATTGGTAGATGATGTGGTAGGGGAGCGTTTGTTACAACTTTTTCGGATGAGCGAAGTCTTGTTACGAAGGACATGGCCAGAATGGAGCATATTCATGATCAGGCTTGTGAACCATTCCTGAGTGTGACAATTGTAAGAGCATTGACTAAAGTGAAGCAAGCAACTCTTCAACAATTACACCGTTGAACCCAACCCCGGTCATTATCTCGCTTCCCATCGGCGTAGGTGCACAAGCCACCACAGCCTCGTACCGGCAGCCCCGTTTTCTTCCCGAAAGAGACAGGTCCGCGCCGAACCGTCCGAGTCGGCCGGCTAACCGCCAAACTCCTGGGAAGGTCTCATCAGAGATTTTCACGACCAAAAGGCCAGACAGTCGAAGAAGGGTCAGAGGAATCGGCCACGACCTGCCTCAAATCGCCCAGCTCTTGGAGTCGAGGCGTTCCTGCAGCTTCCTCTTTTTCCTGCGGGCTCGACACAGGATGAACCCGATCGGGCAGCTGGTCGGACGGACCTGGGCGCGAGGATTCGACGCTTCTGTCGGTCCCGTCGCTCAAGGTCTCATCCGCGGCTCTGTATTATTATCCCCGTTTACTTCGTCTGCTCCGTCTTTCACTTCGTCTTTGTACAATGTAGGCTTCAGACGCCCATTTTCCAACTCTTCAGTCTCTAGGACTACTGCTGCCACCACTTCTACTACGAATAAGTCTCTCTGGTCGTCGTCCAATGTTTGGAAATCCATCCGCGATGGTCTCGGTCTCTCTCGGTACGTTGACTAACTGTTACTCTTTGCTTTATCCTTTTCTTTCTGGGCCGTCATTCCGGGTGCAATCGGCCACCAACTGGCAACGAGGTACTCGACGCAGCATTCCTCAGGTCGCCTCGAGAGCTTCCCCCCAATAATCCACCAGTGGCACGCGCTAAAAGCGTAAGGTAGTGTCACTGAATCCAAGCTCTGAGGTCAGGGAACCTTACCCATGCAGGGACCTTTTGTCTGCCCCTCGTTGCCCCTCACCTCGGAACACGCGCTGAGGTCCACCCTGGAACTCTGTCTTGCCAGTTGCATCGCCAACCCGAAACCCACAACGCCATCACTCTTCCAGTCTGGATTCCCAAGAAGGAAGGACACTTGTGTGGAGCTAGCTACAGCTTCTGATCGAATCCATTGCCTCTTTTTTCTTCTCTTCTCTTTACTTCTCTTCATCCCAATTCCTTGCTTTAAAAGTTGACTGACTCTCCGTTTCCTCAAACAAACAGCCGTCGGCCTTTCTTCCCCGCATATACTACCCGTTCCTACTGCTCGACCATCACCACTTCAGACAAGGCACTCTTCGCCAGCAGAGTCGGCAACATGGCGGATCGCGAAGTTCTCCCCGACTCCATCAAACCCTCCCACTACGTGCTGTCGCTCCGCGACCTCAACTTCAACGACTGGACTTACAAGGGAACCGTGACGTAAGGATTGCCCCTGCCCCTCACCCCGCTTAAGCTTCAGCTTCAGCTCCCAACATACCAAGCACGTGCTGATGTTCTACTCCGAACAGCATCGACGCCGAAGTTGTCAAGCCCACCAAGGAAATCGTCCTCAACGCTCTCGAGATCAAGCTCCTCGACGCAAAGATCGCTGTCGGTCACACCAAGTCGACGCAATCATGGGAGTCCAAGAACTTCAGCTACGGCGAGAAGCAGCAGCGCGCCACAATCACCTTCGACGAGGAGATCCCCCAGGCGCAAAAGGCTGTCCTGACCATTGAGTTCGAGGGTATTATCAACAACGATATGGCTGGCTTCTACCGCAGCAAGTACAAGCCCACCGTCGAGCCCGCCAAGTCCGTTCCCCGCGACGACGAGTGGCACTACATGTTCAGCACCCAGTTCGAGTCCTGCGATGCCCGCCGAGCCTTCCCCTGCTTCGACGAGCCCAACCTCAAGGCCACCTTCGACTTCGAGATCGAGGTTCCCGAGGACCAGGTCGCTCTCAGCAACATGCCCGTCAAGGACACCAAGAAGACCCGTGAGGGCTGGCAGATGATCTCCTTCGAGACCAGCCCCAAGATGAGCACGTACCTGCTCGCCTGGGCTGTTGGTGACTTCGAGTACGTCGAGGACTTCACCGAGCGTCGCTACAACGGCAAGCAGCTGCCCGTCCGCGTCTACACCACCCGTGGCTTGAAGGAGCAGGGCCGCTGGGCTCTGTGGCACGCCCCTCGCATTATCGACTTCTTCTCCGACATCTTCGGCATCGAGTACCCCCTGCCCAAGGCCGATCTCTTGGCTGTCCACGAGTTCACCCACGGAGCCATGGAGAACTGGGGTCTCGTCACTTACCGCACGACCGCCGTCCTCTTCGACGAGAAGACCTCCGAGGCTAGATACCGCAACCGCGTCGCCTACGTCGTCGCCCACGAGTTGGCTCACCAGTGGTTCGGCAACCTGGTCACCATGGACTGGTGGGATGAGCTTTGGCTCAACGAGGGTTTCGCTACCTGGGTCGGATGGCACGCTACCGACTACCTGCACCCTGAGTGGCAGGTTTGGTCTCAGTTCGTCAATGAGGGTATGGAGATGGCTTTCAAGCTGGACGGTATCCGTGCCTCCCACGCCATCCACGTCCCTGTCAAGGACGCCCTCGACGTCAACCAGATTTTCGACCACATCAGCTACCTCAAGGGCTGCTCTGCCATCCGCATGCTTGCCAACCACTTGGGCGTTGACACCTTCCTGAAGGGTGTCTCCAACTACTTGATCGCCAACCAGTACGGCAACGCCAAGACCAAGGCTCTGTGGGACTCACTCAGCGAGGCTTCCGGCAAGGACGTCAACAAGCTCATGGGCCCTTGGATCTCCAAGATCGGCCACCCCGTCTTGACCGTCGCTGAGGAGCCCGGTCAGATCTCCGTCAAGCAGTCTCGTTTCCTGTCTACCGGTGACGTCAAGCCTGAGGACGACCAGACCACCTGGTGGATTCCTCTTGAGCTTGAGGGCAAGGTCGGCGCCAAGGGTGTCACCTCCCTTTCTCTGGAGACCAAGGAGGACACCATCCGCGACGTCGACACCGACTTCTACAAGCTTAACTCCGGCGCTTCTGGTTTCTACCGCGTCAACTACCCCCCTGAGCGTCTTCTGAAGCTTGGCCAGCAGCTTGACCGCCTGAGCACCGAGGACAGGATCTCCATCATTGGTTCCGCTGCGGACCTTGCGTTCTCTGGTTACGGTACCACTGCTGCCCTCCTGTCCTTCGTTCAGGGCTTCGCCAAGGAGGACAACTACCTCGTCTGGAGCCAGATCCTTGACTCCATCGCCCTTGTCAAGTCAATCTTTGCCGACGACGAGACCATCAAGAAGGGTCTGGAGACCTTCACCCTGAAGCTCATCAACGACGCCGTCGCCAAGTACGGCTGGGAATTCCCCGAGGGTGAGAGCTACCTCGATGGTCTCCTGCGCAAGAGACTTCTCCTCACCGCTGGTGTCAACGGCCACGCCGCAGTCACTGAGGAGGCTACTAAGCGCTTTAACGCCTATGTTGAGAACCCCGAGACCAACTCCCTGCACCCGGCTCTCCGTACCCCTGTCTTCCGCGTCGCCATCAAGAACGACACTGCCCGTGCCGTCGAGGTCTTGAAGAAGGAGTGGTTCACCACCCCCGCCATCGACGGCAAGGAGATCTGCCTCTCCAACCTCGGCTTCGTCCGCGACACGGAGATCATCAAGAACACCCTCATCCCCTTCCTGTGGAACAAGTCCCCTCCCGCCCCCGCGTCCGACTCTATCCCTCCCGCCGACATGCACATGCTCGGCTCTGCTCTTGCCGGCAACTCCGTCGCCCGTCAGCTGCAGTGGGAGCACCTGAAGAACAACTGGGACGCCTGCGTCTCCAAGCTCGGCAACCCCATCGTCGTCGACCGCTTCATCCAGGTCTCGCTCGGCAAGTTCACCGACTTCGACACCGTCAAGGACATCGAGTCCTTCTTCGCCGACAAGGACACCAGTGCCTTCAGCCGCACGCTCGAGACCGTCAAGGACAAGGTCCGTGGTCGCGCCGCTTACCGCGAGCGCGACGCCGCCTCTCTTAAGGAGTGGCTTGTCGCCAACAAGTACGCGTGAATCGCGGAGAGAAAGAGGGGGACGGATGGGATACAGAAAACCAGTATCCCATGTAAGTTGTAGCTAGCGATAAGATGCTAGGTTGTGAAAGAAATACCACTTTTGTTTTTTGTCGTCATGAACCCTCCTTATCAGTGATGCCAATGGCCGCGCTTAAGACTGTGGCGTCATAACTTCCTCCACGTTTCCTACATAAAAACGTCGCATCGATGCCAACATTGCGCTGTCTTAAGGGGCAACAATCCCAGGGGTTGAAGTTCGCGGCAATATATGATGTTCACAACCTACTACATGGGCACTGAAAACCTGATCTGAACCTACCCTTAACCAGACCTGGTGATGCGCACGCATGCATTCTTCTCGATCGAATACATGGAAGACGGCGATGACGAACAACGAAAGGCCATCACGAAGCCAGGCTCACGAGATCGAGTTTTCCTTCCGCGAGGTCATACATACAAAATCCACCGGACTTGCCACACAGCGTGCGTCTGCTATGGGACGTTCGAGGTTTCACGTCGATAATCCGGATGGTAGTGTGGTTATCGACATCAGATCCTGTTGAGGTTCCTAATTTATACCAAGTTCAATGCCATTCATCAAGCTTCTAGCACCTTGTGTGATGATATGAGCCAAAAGGGCGGTGAAGGGATATATAAAAGACCACTGTGCTCCATACATTTGGCTCCCTCATTATGCAAGGCCGACTTGTCCCGGAATTCCTAGGGGTAATCCTATTTCGTAAGAAATCTGAGTGCATGCGAGTCTCGCTGTCGTCTATAGTTCAAGAGAAATAAAGCATACCTGGCTCGAATCCTCGTGGTGACGTCGTCCTGTGCCCTTGTTTCTGCTGTCTTATTCGGCTATGTATGGAGTAAATCATGGTATCTCTCTCCCTTCCTCTCTCAGATCATAAAGATTCAGATGGCGTGCCGAGCCTCTCCGTTTAGTTTTAATTAGGCACGTACCATCAATCAAGAGATTGCAACCAAGTGTGTCGGGCCCGTTTCCTCGGCATGTCTTGCCTGCTTTTATCATCCATTCTCTACTCGATCTGAAGACATACATCTTATCGAGCTTTATTGGTTTTTTCGCCCAAGGATTGCTTTTGCTCCCACTTCGGCATGACATTGGCACGATTTTCGGGATTCATTTTGTGTCTGTTAATGAGGACATATATATAAGATTCGCTTTGTGTAATGTTTGTTTTAGAAACCAGAGGATGAGGTGGGCTGATATCTCGATAAAATTGAGATTCTTCTGTGCCACCACAGTTAAATATCTTCATATTCGGGAAGAGTCAGTATGGTTTAGGAAGGTAGTAAGTATCATGCGAGGGAACAGTCGCGCCGGCATCCACGTCCTTCGTCTTTGATGTTTTATTCTTCTTAGTTTACACAAGGACACGAGTACACACAAGTTGTGAAGACTTATGAGAGAGAGGGTTTAGCGTACCTCGACCCTATCAATATCACTTCGCATGGCTCGCATCCCGTGCATGTTGCAGTTGTATTGAAGGAATAGGTCGAATGGAGCACTGTTGCCGTGCTGCTGACCATGAGGCACAGACGAGGCTATTTAAACCAGATCTCCTTTGAATGACACCGTCATTGATAAGCATACATCAGCAAGATGGTACAAACACGTGACAAATGTCTGCCGATCACATCAAAGTCTCCAAGCCTCAAGAACGCCTTTCTGGGGGCACAAGTGTCTGGTTTAAACTGGCATACATCATTCTAGGTGGATTTTGGGCCTCTTTTGCGAGTGGTTTGGTGTGGAATCATGCCGAGTTTGAGTAGTACTGATGAGTGGCATGACACTATGGAATGAGGTTAGCACTGCTTCAGTAGATTCCTCTCGGGTAAATATATATTTGGCGCATCCCACCTCCATTCTGATGTCTTCTCAAACCGCAAAGTTACACCCTTCCACTTCATATAGGATGTCTGTGAGTAGTCCCAATTGGGCCTTGTTGTGTCCGGTGCTACCTCGTCTTCGACCTCACGAGAAGGTGAGCGAGCGACGGTGCTGGCCGAGGCACATTACGGACCGTCTTTATCCGTCGGCATCGCTGGACACTTATTCCTAATTATGTATTCAAGAGCAGTGACACCTTGTCGTTATGAGAAGGTATGTCTCTCCCGAGCCGTGCGTTGGCCCTAGACTTGCCCCAGTGATAATCCTGGGTAAAGAAGATGGCACCAGAGAAACCCTCCAAGTCAACCGCATCAAGCCCTGCGGCTTTGCTAGTAGTACTTGATTGTATAGTGTTCAAATAGCTAGCCTGATACCTTACACAGGAAATGCTTTTGTGAAAATGCATATGGCAAGGACTTTTGCTGCGCAGTGTTACGATAACCCAATGTTTGGCGGCAGTCCCTTCCCTCTAATGATCTTAAGGCTCTGCAACTTTCCAAATGATCTTGCGAGAGTATCTCGTCGTGGGAGTTCAGTAGCCCTGCCGTCAATATAAAAAGAAGGCTGCTTCGCGTCCAAGAACGTTTTAGCATAGAGCCAGTGCTGGAGCTGTCTGGTTCTTGACAGCCAGCATTTTCCATTTGCAAATTGACAAACGGGGCCAGACACAGCCAAACAGTGACAAGAAAATGGGAAGCGTCAATGAGTCGCTTGTGAGCGATATCGATACGGATTTTTCGTAGGTATTCTCAGTCAATAAACCGAGGACACGGAAGGCCGATGGCGATGTCAGTCAGACTTGCCACTAGGAAACTACAAATAATTATATCAAGTGGAGTTTTGATTTCGAATCGGCGCTCCGGCGAAGCCTTGGTATTATTCCGCCATCAAAAGCCGGCTGATCGTGCAGAGACCGCTTCTCAGGGGAAGCATCGTATTTAAAGCTGTAGGCACAACACTTTCGAAGTTACACTCGGATCTTGTTTTGAGATGCTTGTCGTACCAGCAAGTTTCAAACGATGCTCTGTCTACCTCTGACCTAAGCTGGGGTTTACACGAGGATGTATTCAGAGCAAGCAAGTCAGCCGCCAAACCCCCACGCGAAATCCCACTTACAAGCCCGGTCGTCACCTTCAATCAACCAGCCACCCTTCTTCAAGGCCAACCCTCCTCGATCCACGACGCCAAAAGACAGCCGCATGATCACAACAGAGACTCGTGCCGATGACTAAGACGAGATCGCGTAATAAGTCGTCATCTCACCCCGAGCCTCGCCATGCTGACGGGCTCGTTGACCGACTGCCAAGTATCGTTCTGTATCCCCGCATGTCAGACAGACCTCTCCGTAACCAATCCGAGATACTCGTACAGTCTGGTCTTCCGTAAGCCGCCCGCCAAGACAGCTCAGAACCTCTCCAGTCAGCAAAACCCACAGCCGAGCCTTGGTGAGAATGTCGGTATGCTTAACAGCAATCCAAGACATCCATCCCCGTAGCCTGGTCGGGCGACGGAGGTTGGATTACGGGCGTGATCGAGGCAACCAGGCTACGGCGGCGAGTCTATGGGTTGTGTTTAAGGGGGACAGACGTACTTATATAGTCCTGAATGCATTTGACATGTCCAAGCGGTTGGCTTCAGACACCTCCCTCATCTCACCACCGACGCACAACCACGATGAGCAACTGCACTTCAACACAGAGCTTCTTCGGACACTTCACAAGACGTCTCTGCACACGGTGCATGGAGCCGTTCACGACGCAACATGTCTGTTTCCAGGCTCAGAACCTTGTGTGCAGGGATAAACCGACCCGGCGTCTGGTTGAGTGAATTTGTGAGTTAATCTGTTGACCTCAATCCTTGAGCCACTGGCTAACTGTCAAATAGAACGTGTTTCTTGTTGTATTCGACGGTTCGAGTAGGCGTAAATAATAGGGCCGGCCACTCCTGTATTGAGCATATTCCCTCTCCGGCGATAAACGGCATCGTTGTACGGCTTCAGCCGGTGGCTTTGGATCTGTGTAAGTTATCAGCTTTGCGAACGCATTCGTAAACTAATTGTCAACTCAAGAATACCAAGGCGCCGCCTAGACATGGGTTGAGCTGGTAATATACGGTTGGCGTGTCTGGCCAGTCGGGACTGAAGCGGTAAAGATAACGAATATCTTTTCGTGCTGTCTTGAGTTTGTTTATGGGTGTTATCTTCTATTGCCAATGAGTTATCAGTTATACAGCTGCTTCTGTTGTCTGCCATTCACAAATCTCTGATTTATCCGCAATGCAATCATGGGTATTGTCGTCTCATTCCAGGTTGTTTTTTGTATGCCGGCCCAAAGTCATGCTATGTATTGTACAAGCGTAAGCCACGCCACCCGACACCGATGCCAACCGCCCATAAACCGCAAACCCAGAAAAGGGAACCGAATGCCTTTATCGTCAAATTAACATCCCCTGTCCATATCCCACATGGATTTGACACCCATCAAAGTACTTGTCGTAGATCAATCACTTTGGGTAGGGCGTCGCCATAACTCATTCATCAGATCTCGTCTGTAGACATGCGGTAACGAATAGTAGCGAGGTCCCACTGATCGTCGCCGTGATGCCCGAAGACGCCGTCGGGCAGAGCGCCTCTACGACTCTTCATTACGACGAGGTCCGCGCATCGACACAGAGCCGCCACGCTGGCCGCGCTGGCCACGTCCACGACCCTCACCGCGGAAACCGCCGCGGCCGCGCCACTCACCACGGCCACGGCCACGGTGGCCAGAACCGCCTTCACGATCGCCGCGACCGCGGTTGCGTCCCTGAACCTGGTGGAAGCCGTCGTTAGGATCAGCAGCGGGAGCAGGAGCCTACACAGAGTGAGCCAAAGGAACTATGGACGGACGAGAGGAGGAATACTAACCTCTTGCTGAATCTCGTGGTGCTCGGGCTGGTCGTCGGCCCACGACTGGGTGTTGGAGGCGGCGGCAGGGGTGGCCTCGATGCCAGTCTCGGTCTCGACGGGATCACGAGGAACAGAGACCCATTCCTGGGACTCGGACAAGGTGTTATCGTTCTGGTCCCACTTCTCGCCAGCAGCGTTTCCAGAGCCGCTGGTGATGTTAGCGTTCGCATGGCTCTCGATGTTCTGCTCGGGGTGGCCGTTGGTCAGGGCAATATCGTCGCCGGCCTCGATCTCGTTCACGGTGGCGTTAGCGACGGTGGGGTCGGTAGCGGGCTCGGCCTCGGTCTCAGCAGGAGCAGGCTCATCCAGGGCGATCTTATAGGCCTGGGCAGCTAGCTTGACCTGACCAACTTGAGGAATATTAGCACTGCATGCGACGAAGAAAATCCAGTCGAGTCTTACAGGTGGTGTTAAGCTCCTCGCCAGCGACACCGTGGGTCTTTTCGTCGGTGCCCTCGATGAGCTTCAACATGGCGGCGACAGCGCTGTCGTCACCTGCGTAGATGGCAAGGAGGGTTCCCTCGAGGGCGAGGTTCTCGTCGATGGACTGGTCGGCCTCCTCGGAACGGCGGGCTGCGGCAAGACGGAGGAACTGCGACAGAACCAGGAGCTTGCTGGTAAGGGACTGAGAAGAGTCTCCCTCAGCCTTGGCCTTGACCTCAGCGACGGCCTCTGCCTTCTCCTTCTCCAACCTCTCGGCGAAAGCCTTCTCCAACTCAGCCTTCTCGCTCGCGGCGCGAGTGCGGTACTCGTGGTCGATCTTCTTGTACTGAGCAAGCTGCTCCTCGTATTGTTGGACCTGAGCTTGCAGAGCTGGCTTCTTCAAGTACTGAGCCTTTTGGTCGGCATTGATAATGCGCGACGCAACGAGCTCGTCAAGAGACTTGCCAGTGTTCTCGGCAATGAGACCGTCGATCTTGGAGGCGTTGGTCTATGGGACAGCTTGTTAGCGCGAGAGCTTGGCGGGGAGAGGGGTAGAGGTTAACGAACAAGCTTCTTGTTGGTGTTGCGGATGTTCCTACGAGCACAGGTTAGGGAGGCAAGCTTCTTAGGTGGTGGGATTCATCAATTGATGTTTGGCTCGTACTTTTGCAACTCGCGAACATAAGGGCTCTCGCCGGACTCATCGGAGCCATCCGCCTTCTCGGGGGCGGGAGAGGCAGTAGGAGCAGGAGAATCAGTGCGCTCAGCAGCGGCGGCGGCGGCCTTGGCCTTCTTCTTCTTGGCCGACTTGGATTCGGTCTGGACCGCGGGGTTCTGAACGGTAGAGGCGGCCATGTTGAAGCTGTGCGAGATGGCAGTCAACAAGCCGGTCGGGTCGCGGGTCGCGTGAGCTTGGTCGGGGTTTTTTTTCCGGGTGACGTGGTGGCCAGCTACAGCAGCGAGTGCGCAGGTAGGTGACACAGGTAAACAAATTGGTTGATGGGTGATGAGATGCGAGGAAGTAGGCCCTAGGATCGGAAGAGATACTTAGGGGAGAGAGTTTGTGATGAAAAGCTAGAAGCTAAAGGTGAAGCTTGGGAGGTGTGCAGGATATAATTTTTGGAGGAATGGAGAGAGATGATGCGGAAGAGCTAAAGTTGTAAGGTAAGGCAGTCAAGTCAGGTCGTCAGGTAGGTCTCTAGGTGCTGAGGCCCGTCCCTTCCCGGGGCGGAGAGGTCGAGTGGGTTCAAGCCTCAAGCCTCAAGGAGCCGACAGCACCCCTGCCCACCGGCCGGCTGCTGGCTCCTTCCCTTCCCCTTCCCTAATGCACCCCCTGCATCCACTGTCACCAGGCTCCAGCTGGGTTCTAGAACTGAGAGGAAGAAAAGGTACAAAAACCAATGTACCTAAGATGTCTGGTTTCAGCAGCAATTATCAGACTATCGGATAAGGAATTCCATCAAGATACTTTGATATCTGGTAAACATGGAAGCACGCAGTCTTTGGAACAGACAAGACTCAGGAATCACGCACCCTTGCGGGCTCAATTGAATGACGTACGAGACAGGGCATTTCAGCCTTGCAAGTGCTAAGATAACCAACGTCCCTACCTAGGTATCCGTTCGTGTACATGCGCGCTAATCCCCCGCATTAATCTGCGCCTGCTGCTCATCCGGTGGCTGGGAACGCTTGCTGAGGCGTCTACTGGCTAGGAACCTCCCAATCACAACATCGACAGATGACCTGATTTGAACCCGTACAATGCAACCGTCCAAACTCGGTCCACCTATTCAGACGAACCGACCCTTTCCAGCCTCTCACTCGGCATGCGTTCTGGTCAACGGACGTCGTCCTCCCGGGAGGGAAGCAAAGCACCCGTCCTCGGCCAGTTTGCAACATGCCCGCGTAGTCATGATGTGTAGCTCGTCGCACGTTAACCAGCGGAGCCAGGTCCCTCCATCATCCTAAGCAGTATCATAATCGTTGGTGTCCATAGCTCCGTCAACCAGTACTTGCCCAAGATATGATACTGGGCCTGTTGAACTGCCACCCTTTCATTCGCCAGCAGGCTCTGACAGAATTGTGCTGGTAGGTAGGTAAGGAGCGCCTTCTCCGTCAAGAGTAGCGTTATCTGGCACAGGGTCGGGTCGAGCGGTTTGCGATCGGTAGGTTGGCAGTTCAGCCCTTGAACTTGATCAAAGTATCCTGCCAAGACTATCGTCAGCTTTTGAACTATTTGAGGCCAATACTAGTTGCTTGAATGACTTACCGAGGTCACCTTCTTCACACTTCTAGCTGTAATTCCTCTCTCCCCAGCCTTCTTGGACTCGATTGCCGCTTCTTTGACAAGCCTTCCCAGAGAGTGAGCATCGCCAGTTGTAATAATGCACAAATCGTAAACTCACGTCTGCATGAAGAGGACATAGTCGAGGTAGACCTGGGGAACAGTCAGTGACGCGTCTCAACGCGTCTGAGGAGGCGACCGACCATGACGTCCACATTCTTGCTGAGATTGCAATTAGAATGGGCCTTGACAATCTTCTTGACCGTACCGCGAGGGTACGCCTTTTGACCGGGCGCCATAATGACAGTTGGCAGATAATGGCGTCGCGATGTTATTGACGATGAACGTGAGGTAGGCGTCTCGCGGCAGTAAATTGGTGTTGCGGCTCGGTGTGACGTTCCGGGGGTGGGGGAGCTAGCTTTGTTTTGTTTGGGGGCGGCAGTTACCGAGGTGAGCACTTCACGCGGCCTGTGCTGACTTCCAAGGTTGCCTCAGTGCACCACCCCTCCGCACTGTCCTTGACACCGTGCCCCTCCATCCGAGCTTTTTGGAGCTTGCGTCAATCGCCAAATTGTCAGCTACATTTGCGAGGCCTTTCGATACCGAAAAGTCGCACCACAGACCGTCAAAATGTTGTCAAGGCGCATGGTAAGTTTTGTCAAATCAAAACTCAGACGGGACGCAGGCTAACGATATTTGCTGCAGCTCAGCAAGGCCGACGAGGAGGCCATGGGGGACGAGGTCGAGGTCAGGAGAGAAGACCAGGACAAGATCAACAAGTTCAGCCGTCTGCACTCTCGCGAGCTCGGCATCGAGGATGAACTGAAGAACAAGAACGTCAGTGCTGTACTCATGCTGTGCGATCGAATCAGGCTAATATTGTATGGACCCGCAGAAGGAGAAGGAGGAGCTCGAAGACCTCAGCACAGAACTAGAGCTCGCCGACGAGGACGAGACTGTACCGTACGCTCTTAACCCCCGCGCCAAGGCCCACGATATTCCGAGCTGACCCAGGCGGCAGATACAAGATCGGCGACGCATACTTCCACGTCCCGCAACCCCAGGCAATAGAGATGCTGGAGAAGGCTTCGTCCAAGATCGAAGAGGATGTCGAGGAGTTGGAATCCAAGCTGGAAACGATCAAGGAGGAAATGACCCAACTCAAGGTCGAGCTGTACGCCAGGTTCGGAAAGAGCATCAACCTCGAGACATGAATCAATCACGATATGGACGGCTACCCGCCTCCTCGCCGCACGCATGACACCGGCCTGGAGACACCGGAAATGCTGAAATGAAGCGCCAGCGGGGCGTACTGAATCGCACACCGCCCCAGAGAAGCTTGCATCGACCGTCAGGAAGAGAGGTCGACGGACCGGTCAGGCTCTCGAAAGCCTCAACAAAACGCCGCCCTAGGAAAGCCGCATGTTTGACCCGGGGCCGAGTGTGACGGCATCAACCAAGCTAGGCCAATGCAAATCAGCTCAATACGATTGCGCTACCTCGAGAAAAATGCCGAATGACCGCCACATGGAGGGGCAAGCCGGGCATACGCCGGAAAAGAACCTCCACCATCGCGGCCGGTTAACATGTCGCCGACCAAGTGGGGCTGCGATTCGGCTCCGATGGCATCCATGACCCAATGAGAGCTCACGCCCTTGACGCCCGTCTAGTTCACCCCCCTTCCGTCAGCGATGACGGGATTAATTCAGACGGCCATCTGCTACGTCCGGCCCAGTTACGATACACCATCGGATGCTTGAATCTCAGAAAGGTGGTGGGAACAAAGCCTAGACGGTCTCAGGCCAGAAGGGTCGTCGCTTCCATGCAGCATGCATGCGCCCGATCTTCGGGCCGCCTGTCTCTTTGGGCCATTATTCATCAACATGCAACTTATAATGATCTTTTGCCCTTCCCCTCAGTATCCACGATGTGAAAACCCCAACCCACAGCCGAGATTGCCAAGAGATTGGGCATTTGTAATCGGTTCGCAATGCCAGACAACAGCCAACTCAGAGAAGACGTAGAACGGCAACCATCGCCTCTTCACCGTGAGAAAGTTCCAACCTAACCTCGACAACTAATCTAACCTTGGCAGGCCATCACTCCTCTTTATCAGGCGCCGTCAAGAACATAGACGAAGATGATGCCCGTCGCAGATATGACTCTCGCTGTGAGGAGCAAGGGCTCGGTGACGAGAAGGCCACCAGCCCAAGTCCAGACTTGTCAAGTGACGAAGACGAGAAGACAATAGTCTCATGGGAAGATGGCGACCCGGAGAACCCCCACAACTGGTCACATGTCGGTATTCCATCGAGTCTCGACAAATGCATTACTGACACTTTCCTAGACGAAAAAGTTCCTCATCCTCTGCCTGACCATGTTGCAAGTCATCAACAGCACCATGGGCTCAGCTCTACCGTCCAACGCCATCCCGTTCATCACGGCCGAATGGGGCATCACCAGCCAGCCGCAACAGGTTCTGCCCATCTCCGTCTACCTCATCGGGTACGTGTTCGGCCCTGTCGTCTGGGCACCGGCTTCGGAACACGTCGGCAGACGGGTTTTGACGGTCGTCACCTTCGTCCTGTTCACGATATGGACGATGGCCTGCGCCCTGGCACCGAACTGGCCATCTCTACTGGTCTTCCGCCTCTTCACCGGCGTCTTCGCCAGCTCTCCGATCGCCATCGTCACGGGAATCCTCGCAGACATCTACGGCAACCACGAAACCCGCGGCCGCGCCATGACAGCCTTCATGGTCGTGAGTTTCACCCTCCCTTCCGTTGCAAACCCATTCTAACAACCTTCAGATGACAACGTTCGGCCCGCTCTTCGCACCCATCATCTCCGGCTTCTGCTCCCCGACCATCGGCTGGCGCTGGAGTTTCTGGATCGCCCTAATCTACGCCGGCGCGACCCTCGTCCCCGTCGCCCTCCTCCCCGAGACCTACGCCCCCGTCCTCCTCGTCCGCCGCGCCCGCAAGATCCGAAAATTAGACCCCGCCCTCGCCTCGACCGTCGTCGCCCCCTCGGAGCTCGAATCCACCGACCTCAAACAGCTCGCCACCATCGTCCTCACCCGCCCCGTGCGCATGCTCATCTTCGAACCCATCGTGAGCTGCACCTGCGCCTACCTCGCCCTCGTCTACACCATCTTCTACATGTCCTTCCAGGCCTTCCCCATCATCTTCCAGAAACTCTACGGCCTGTCCCCGGGCGTCTCCGGCCTCGCGTACCTCCCCATCGGCGGCGGCGCCCTCCTCGCCGTGCCCGTCTTCCTCGGCTGGGAACGGTACCACCTGCACGCGCAGAAGGAGGGCCGCTCCTGGGCGAAACAGGAAGAATACCGCCGTCTGCCACTAGCCTGCGTCGGCGGCCCGCTCTTCTTCGTCTCCCTCTTCTGGCTCGGCTGGTCGTCGCGCCAGGACGTGAGCTACGTCGTGCCCATGCTCGCCGGCCTCCCCTTCGGCGCGGGCTTCATGCTCATCTTCATCGCGCTGCTCAACTACCTCACCGACGCCTACGAGGTCTTCGCCGCCTCCGCCAACGCCGCCGCCTCCACCAGCCGCTCCCTGCTCGCCGTCGTCCTGCCCCTGGCCACGACGCCCATGTTCGACGGGCTCGGCATCGCCGGCGCCTGCAGCCTGCTCGGCGGGCTCAGCGCGCTGATGTGCGTCATCCCCTTCGTCTTCATCTGGAAGGGCGAGCGCATCCGCGCCGGGTCGCGGTTTTGTATCGCGTTGAGGGAGAGGAGGGAGGAGATGGAGAGGAAGGTCGAGAGGCAGCGGCGTAGGGAGGAGGCGAGGCGCGGGTCGGGGAGGAAAGAGGAGGAGGTGTGAAGCGCGATGGGAGATGGATGGTATACGAACGCCGTTTTCGGCCTGGAGGACCCGACTCCGGTATTTTGGAAGAGACACCGAAGCGGAAAGTCTCGGGGGATCTAGCAGACTGTCGATTCCACCAAATCGGCTACCTACTATATAGAGGCTTTATCGCAATGGTCTCGGAAAGTCGACTCGGGGCATTTCTATATCAAGGAGCCCCTAATGTAATCAACCTGACTAAGAGAGGCTGGAAGGAGCATCCGCCCGCCAAGCGGGCAAAACATGCGAAATACCAACCCCGATATCAGCATAGATTGACAAAAACCCAAAAGCACAATACCAAAACCGTAAAAATCAAGTTCAGCTTCCCACAGTCATCGTGATGAGAACACTCGTTTGCCACAGCAACCCGGACTGGAATGTTTGGTGGTCCGAACGCAGCACAGACATCGATCACCGACATAAGACGAGAACATTCCTGCCCCCCCGCGAAACGAGACAGAGTTCGTCTCATGTCTTGCCGTCAGCCGGACCTTAAGACGACTACACACCACCAAGACTGCTCTTCACTCGCGTAGGATGATTCGTGGATCTTTCATATGAGTCTTCACACACTATAGCATAAGAAGGGCACGCTGACTTTGACTTCGATAGACGTCTCATTCATAACGGGGGAAGGCAGCATAGTTTTCACCAAACCTCATCCCCATTGATCTAAAAGTATATACAAAAAGAATTGAAGAAATATTTTCTGGGATTTTTTTGTTTTCGGTCTTTGCAACTCGAACCTTGTTGTCGCAGAAACGAACCTCGCTTACATTGGAACGAAACGCGCGCCAAATGCAAGAAAACGCAAATGCTGCCATCCCCCATTGTGGAAAACCCAAAGACCCAAGAAAACACCAGGACTCGCCCATGTGGTGTCCTCTCTGTTTTTCCGAATCCGCCTCTAAATCGCAAAACGAGTCGTGAAGTTGAAGAGCGAGTTAATCATATGCATCCCCCCCTTAAGATAGTTTGTGTACACAGAAAAACTTTCGCTTTATTCTTTTCACGACCGCACCAAACGATATGTATACAAGACAAAGTGACAAGAAGGATAATAATGTGTTTGTTCATGAATCATAGATTCTTCTCATAAATATGATAAAACTTGACATGCTTTGGGGGGAATCTAAATCAAACACTTTAGAAGAGCTTGTTGGAGCGGCGGTAAGCAGCGCCGGTGGGCTTGGCGCTGCCGGCACCGGTGCCGTTGGTGGGGAAGGGAGCAACGGTGACGGTGGTGGAGAGGGTGACAACCTCCTCCTCGTCGGCGGGGCACTCATCGTCCTCACCCTCGTCAGCGGCCTCGGTGGTAGCGGGCTGCTGGGCAGAGGCGGTCTTGCTGGGCTCGGAAGCACCGTTGCCGGAGCCGGAGCCGGAGCCAGAGCCGTTGCTGTTGCCGTTACCGGCAGCGGCGGTAGGGGTGGAAGAGGCACCACCGATGGTAACGTAGACGGTGGAGGCAGGGACGGTGACGGTAACGGCGGGGCAAGAGCACTCGCCGTCAGAGCCGTTGCCGTTGCCGGTGCTCTTGTCGGAGTCGGAGTCGGAGCCGGGGGTGCCGGTGGCGTTGGGGCGCTTGATGGTGACGGTGCGGGTGCCGGTGGAGGTAGCGGTGGTGGTGGTGGTAGGCTCCTCAGAGCCGATGGCGCCGGTGACGGAGCCGCCAGCAGGGACGGAGGCAGAGGGCTTGACGGCACCATCGGTGGTGGGCTTGGGGACCAGGACGGTGGAGACGGCGGTGGTAGGGACGGCAGTGGTGATGACGGAGGCGGTAGAGCCCTTGCCGATGGTCATGGTGACGATCTTGGTGCTGACGATCTCGGTGACGGAGGTCTCGACCTCGCCGTCAGCGGGGCAGTCATCGTCTTCATCCTCGTTGTCGCCGCCGGTGGCAGGGGGGCTGGTGACGGTAGGGTCCTGGGCAGAGTTGGTCTGCGAGGGAACGCCGGGGACGGGGACACCACCGCCGGTAGTAAGAGGAACGCCGGGGGCGGAGGGGGTGGCGGAGACGGCGGGAGCGGTGCGGGTGGAACCGGGGAGGTTGCCGGTAGAGTGCTCCTGGACGAGGGACTTGGAGATGCTCTCGGCCTCGGTGACGGGGCAGACGGTCTCGGTCAGGTGGACGACGTTGGTGACAACCTGGGTGATGAGGTCGGAGGCGGAGAGGGTACCGCTGCGAGCAGGGCAGTTGGTGATGGTAGGGGCGCAAGAAGTGACGGTAGCAACCTCGGTGACCTCGACGGTGAGGGTGGTGAAGCCGGGGGCGGCGGAGGCGGTAGAGTTGTCGCGGCGCCAGTGGAAGTGGCGGGGCTGGTAGGCGGTGGCACTGGCGAGGGAGGCCATGAGGCCGACGGCGGCAACGGTAGACTTCATTTTGAGAGTTGTGAGGTGGTTGATTTCTCAGGTAATGTATATATATCTCCACAAAGGTAGACGATTTGTTCTGTTTCGAGGGTTCGTGAAAAGGGTGGGCGAAAGATCAATTCCGCGATGGTTCAAAGCTGGTTGGCTGCAAGACTCAGTTGCGCAAAAGAATGAATGGTGATACTCGGAAAGTGAGCGTCAGTTGGTAGTGAAGGAATGGAATGTGTCCGAAGACTGGCAACGAAAGACTGTGGAGAGTAGAGAAAAGAGCAAAAAAGCGCGGTAAAGGAGAGAAGGAGAGGAAGATATTTAGAAGGAGGAGAGGAGGTCAGAGACCTTTTAGCCCGTGGAGTCAAGTTGGTGGACTAGACATGGGGGGTGGTGAGAAGGGGGGAGGGGGCGCGGACGTGGACGTGGACGGTGGAACTGAACTTGTGGATGGGATCTCAATCCTCGGAGGAGAAGGGGGCCCTACTGGGGCCACCTTGGAGCCGTGGGCCCTTCATCTTGGTCTGGTTCCTGACAGTGACAAGATTCGATGGACTTTTGGAATTGCAGGTCCAGGGTCCGGCCGAGGCCACTCACACCCTCGTTGGCGTTGGCGTTGCCGTTGCCGTTGGACGTCGTGATGGATGTGAGCGGGAGCCAGGCACATCTCACCCTCCTGCATCAGGGGTGGAAAGAACGGGGCCAAACGCTTGCTTGGCCTGCATGGAAGAACATGGGTGAAGCATACGGAGGAGAGAGCAAGGATGAAACTTGAAGGCGGGCAGACGCCGTTGCTAACGGTGTAGAGGAAGCGGCGGCGAGCCTAGGCAGGAGGAGAAAAGATGGCGAAGGAGGTATCCGTATGGTCCTCGTAGTGGTGTGTCGTGACAGTCCAAGGTGAGGACGACGACGAAGTGGTGGAAAAGGAACACCACGCATCAGAGCAGGGGGTGTGGCAGCATCGCAGCTTACAATGTGCAAGGATAATTCAGGAACGGCAGGCGAGTAAGAGGGAGTCGGCAAGCGCCTCGAGAGAAGCTAACAACAGACAACCACCGCACCGCACGCACACACAGCCCTCGCATGGGACGAGAGATGAAGCCGCCTTCCTTCTCAACCCACAGACGGAGCCCTCTTCATTAAATCCAGGAGTGTCCGGGCCCCACCCGCGCCGGTGATGACGGCACGCATTCGACGACGTGTGAGTGTTGGTGGGCGGTATTCGTAGGCATAGTCATAGTATGAATATGTGAGCTGTGTTAAGGGAAAGGAAACATGAGATGAGAATGAAAGAAGAGTGAGAGTGAGTTGAGTTGAACCCCTTTACCGCAGCTTCAATAGGAGGCGTTCGTTTCCTCGCAAATCCAGCGAATAAGCTAGGGCAATCCCGGTCCGGCACCAGCTGGGGAGTACCTGGGTGGACTGTGTTTGCACCTGTCATCGCCAATTGCGCGGACCTGCCAGTTGCCAGCCAAGCTAACCCCTGTCGGGCCTAGACCCCTGTTATCCGCCCCTCAAATGCAGGTACGGGGCAGCGCCAAAAACATGAGACACAACCGTGGCCAATCACCAGACCCATTGTGATCCACCCGCCGGCCGAATCCCTGCTCCAGATCTCAGCGCGACAAGCAGGAAGGAACCACGGAACGCTCCCCTGAGCCTCCGCGGTGAAGGACGGAATAAGTAAAAAATCAGCGATATTGGATGACATTTGCCAACCGTCGACCTTCTGTGCAGCTTCTCTCGCAGTCCAGAACCTCAGTGCTGCAGCCTGCCGGTGGATCTTCTTCTGCTTCTGAGAATCGCCGCGCGGGAAGATGCATTTCTCGCTACAGTCTCACCCTCAGCTCACCATCACATCACATCCCTTGTTTTTCGCTCTCGCATTCATTCGTAAACAACCTCAACTTGTTTGTTGTGGAGATGGTCCGTTGCCGTGTCCCGAGTCGGAGCCGCAAGCCCTATTCCACTCAAGGTCCGATAATTCGGGATGCGCAACGGTAACACAGATAATGTGCGCGCTCGTATGTACTTCGTAGGCAGGATGCAGCCAACAAATCTGTGCGTATCTGCAGAGGATAGGTGAGTGAGCATACGCAGTGGTCCCGATTCTCGACCTCAGCTGAGCCCGTATCGCCTCACCGACAGACCGTATTCCGTGCAGCCCGATGCAGGTCTCTCATTCGAACTGTCGATACGGATGATATCTCCAGACATCATAACCTCAGTCTCACTTTTCGTCCTTCTCTGATGCGTAATCTCTTACTTTTAAACCAGCCCCCTCATTACTGACTCTTCAATCTCTCATATATCAAGCCAGCAACGACGGCTGGCGGCAACGTCTCACCCCGGCGCCAAAAAAAGAACCATCACCAACTCAAAATGAGGGCTGCCGCTTAGCCGGCGACCGTTTGCCTGACGTCTGTCTCTGCTTCGCATCGTAGCGCGCCGTGCCCGCCCGCCAAAAAGCGTATTTTAGTGACGACCTTAACTCACTTTACCTTAGCCCGGCCGTTTTGACCCCGCGCATCAGGACGTGACGTGAGATGAGAGTGAGACTCGGGAGAGGGTTACAGCCAGCGCATACGGTGGCTTGCTTAACGCTCACCAGAAATATCTGCGACGCAGCGGTGGCCAGTCGATCCTATGACGCCGTCGACGCCCCCAAATTCCCATTTGCGGTATGGCTTCAGACAAGACGCCCTATCGTCTATCGTCTATCCGTGTCGTCTCTGCAGTTCCATATCTGTAAGCCCCTCACCCCGAATCTCACTCTCACGATAGCGATTGAGCCCGGCATAAGTGCGGTAGCGGAAGCCGGCATCGAGTCATTATGGGAGTTGTGCATCGCGTCTGTCGTCTATCTGTCGGTAATAATCCGACAAAGCCTGCCTATACACCAACGACTAACATGAGCCCTGAGCCTGAGGGGATCCGGGAATTACAGCATTTCGGCAGTGTCACGATTCCCTCCATCATCGGCATTATCAGGCGCTGCTAAGCACGGAAAGCAGGTCGGGTACCTTGCTTTAGCCAGGAACCGCGTCGCAGTGGCGCTGGCACCGACCGGCATGGAGCCTGCGCTCAGCCCCTCGGCCCCCTTTTGACGCCCCCCTCGGAAGTTGGGCATCCTCTCTCTCCTCTCCAGTCTCCAATGTCTCCAGTTGGATCGCATCGCGTACCGAGGGACACCCGTCAAAATCGTGCTTTTCTGGTTCCTTGGACCTGCGCGCGAGCGCGCTTCAGGGGGCCAAGCGTCAGCGAAGAGAATGGGATCGCCGCGGTGGTCCTGAAATGGTTCATCGGTGCGACGCTGTGCGCTGTGCGCTGCGCGTTCTGTCTGCTGCGAATCATATTGTCATTCTGGCTGAATACAACCTCTAGACTTCCCGCGAGAGCCAAGACGTAAGCCGTGGAGTCGAGAAATCTCCGTTTCTCCATGATCGTCCGTGGTGATCGAGATGAGGAGCGGTCCAGGCTTTTCTGACGTGTGTTGTTTTGCGTCTTGTTATTTTCTCCGATTTTCAGGGCTGAGCTTTTGTTGATATTCATTCCTTCGTCTCATCTTCCATGAAAGGAGTCAATTGACTTTTCAGTTCCCGCCTCCAGCTCCTTTTCTTCAGCTGGTCTGGGCTGCAGAGAATTATTGTTATGACACGACATCTTGGTGCGACGGAGTGAGTGAAACCTGGGATTACCTAGGCTGTTGACTGCCAACCAGCGGAAACGTAAGATCGAAACAGCGGGATGATCTGATGAGATTGGACATCCCATCATCAGACGGAACAGAGCTCAGCATCGTCGACAGCAAATTCAGCAATAATTGACCCAGGTACCGTTGCAGTCAGCCACAGCTCCTGACATCTCTCCCGCCATTTAGCTCATGGCCAAGCATTGAACCCCCGAAAAGGGCCGTTTCAGACCCCCGAGACGATCCCCTTTTTTTCTCGTCGTCCTCGAACCCCTCCGACTCCATCGGAATGGGGGCCGCTTTCTTAACAATGGAACAATAGACAAGACATCTTCCAAGTCGACATCCTCGCCAACGTGCCGTCGAATTCTTCTCCCCGGAATTGGCGGCGGGGCCATCATCTGGGAAAACCTGCGGGAAAACTGCGCAGTTGGCAGTTTGGCAGTTCCATGTCGAGGCAAGGGTTCGATCAACAAATCTCTTCCCCCTCAGGGTTCGCCCCAGAACTGCTGTCGCAGACTGATTGTGTCGAGATTATGGGTGGTGCTCCAGCTCACCACCGTCACCACGCCTGCCGTCTTCCACCTAACAGATAACCACTCATCTCACCACCCACTTGAAAATTAAATGAAAATGAGTCTCTTCCAACTTCCCGGCAATTCCATCCATCCCTCTGCTGGTTCTGGTCCTCGCCTGAACTCTGCAGACTCTTCACATGCCGGACCGTTGGCGCGTACGTGATTAATCTCGCAGATAATTCGCGCTGGAAATTGCTCACTCCCGGACAAAACGCTCACCTTCACCTGAACACCCCGGGCTGCCTTGATGAAGGATTCGTAACGCTTCCTTCCTCTCGGTCGGCGTAGTCGGCACTGGTCTTCGGTCTGCCCAGCTCACCTCACTCGTGCTTTGGTTCGATTGATCGATTGATTGATTGACAGATGAGTCGTCACGTCCGAGTTCCCCGCTGACACCGGAACACGGCTCAGCTACTGCCTCCCTCGCCGGCCTAGGCGCGCCGCCATCGTGAAATGAGAGTCCGCTTACAAGGCGCAATTGCCCGAGATATCTGCTCGATTCCCCTCAGCTATCGTATTGTGCCCGGCCGATAGTCGAACTTGCCCCGCCAACACAATGAACCGACGTGGACTCACTGAGAGACAAACCCCGCCTCAGTCGTTGCTTCTTCCAGTCTTCCGCTGCCGCCTCATGCGTACTGTACTCCGTACCGCATCTCACATCCGTCGTGTTCAATCGTACATACTTGCCGTCTCCCTGGCCCGATGTCTTCGACAGCCATCTCACATTTTAATCAAAAGCGTCGCCCGACCAGGCGATCCAGGCCGGCGCAGCCGTCGCAAACTTCAAACACCACAGCTCCCTGACGCCCGCCTCCTCGGGGAGGGGAGGGGAGGCTTGGATTGTTCTGGAGGGGGTTCCTCCTGTCTGGCACCCCCGTCTTGTTTGCACACAATCGGTTTGCATACCCGAACCCTGTCGCCGAGTCTTATGCGGACGCTCCGTTTTCCCCATAGACACCCGACCACGACATCCCGAGTTCGCCATAGCTTCGAACTGCGACCACACACTCAGGAGTTCGACCCGGAGGAGGAAGGAGTCTGGACTTGCGATACTTTACTTGAGAACTGGGTTTTCTTTTGGTCCAGACATCGCGCCCGCGAACGAGAAAAGCGCCCGAAAGCCAAGTGGCCTGCGCCACAGGGTTCGCAATGCGTCGTCCTTGTAGGGCAGACGGACGGGTGGCCGCGTCTAGATGGGCTAAATTGAGCCTCTTCTCACTGGTCCACCGGCAAGAGGCTCCGTTGCTGACCTCATCGATCAACGATATCAAGTGAAGAGATTTCGTGCCTTTAGAGAGAGTTCTCAATCAGAGGCCCAGAGTGACACTCAAGTCATTATTCGTCTGGCAGCGTAAAAGGATGAGAAAGTCAGCTCAGACCTCAGTCAGAGATGTGCACAACCTACAATCTACCTTCTTCAAGTCTGAAGAACACGCTTCTCTGAGTGCCGAGTGGCTCTTCCGAGTTCCGACTTCACGACGGAGCTTCGGGCTTGTTTTGCTTTCTACGAAGTTCAAGTTCCAAGAACACCTCGTTCCAAAAATCATCACTCACTGTTGACGAGAGTCGTGTTCCGTCTTCATCATTTCGAATGTGAAACGGCTCGACCTAAGATCGATGAATGTCAGCTTGTACGCAAAGTCAACGGGACGCGCTTCTTGCTTGCTAACACTCTCGAACTTATTTCCATAGTCCCTTAGATGGAACATGGTTTTATGTTTCTACGACTATTTTGTCACACTGAGGGCTTTCGATATTCAACATCTATTCGCGTCGAGCTCACGGTCACATGCTCGAAAGACACAGAGTTACCGATAAACACACCTTCCGCCTACCTTGCTACGTTTTCAATGCAGAAATCGACAGCATGATTCAAACAATATCATTCCAAATACGAGCAGTGCTTCGATTTTCGATTCAACTCTTGGCATTGGCACTGCACCTCGATCATATATATCTCTCATCGACTGTGAACAACCATCACCAAACGTCGCTTCTTTGTCAAGTGTTTCTCGACAATGTTTGCAATCACAACTCCTGCCGAAACAATCTCAGTCATATAGGGAGGCTGATGTTTGAACTGGAAACATACCATCGGCAGAGTGTGGACTCGGAAAGGCTACAGACTCTGAGGCATGCAAGCAAGTGCTCAGCCGCAACACTCAGGAAGACAGTCCTCACTGTCACGCAAGTCTTTGACACGCGCTTTCACGAGTCGCAAAGGATCATGGGCTGGGAGAGGTGCTTGCCTTTGAGGGCTGGCAACCGCCCCTGGTGCCCGCCTGTTGGGATGGTGTTACCCTTGGTGACTGCCACGAGTGGAAGAAGAAGCTGTTGAGAAAGAGCTCTCAGGGGCTCTCGCCCTTTTCACCCACGAGGCTGAGGTATGACATCGTCAGGTCAGGTCAGGTCGCCTTACCTCCTCACCACCTTGTTTGAAGAGTTTTCCTTCTGCCACCTTCTCTGCCTCAATCTCCCCCCAAGAAAACCTCGCCAAGCTTTTGACAACTCTCTTTTGGCACCTTGGCCAGCACAGATGCTCTTTTCGCTCGCTCATCAACCCTATCTTTTGCATCATATCTCCCTCTTGGGCCCTTGAGCGGCTTCTTGGATTGGTATTCGGTATTTTGCTACCCATCCGATTATCACACCTCCCCCTCGTTTGGAGATCATAGCAAGGTCGGTCAAAAATCAGCGGCGATGGGAAAGTTCTGTTGTTTCCCCTTTTTCCAACGCGAGGGGAACGAGGACACCGAGGACGTGGAACTCGACGACGTCCCCAGGCAGAGGCCCGTCGCAGCCCCTGTCAACATGCAGTTACCGCAGCCTGCGAAGCTAGCCGGCGGTAATTACGACTTCGAGCACTGGATCGCTAGCAACAACACCACCGGCTCCCTGGCATCGTCTCGATCGCACACGCGTACCCCTGAATCTTTTCTGCCTGACCCGATCGGCGTGGAATTCGATTCTGACTCCGACGACGACATTCACGCGCCCAAAACAAACAGTGGCGCTGCTGGTGCGGTCCGTACGCTGGCTCGACGCCTATCCCAGGACGACAAGAAGCGTGCGGCTGCCAGCCAAGTGAAGCTGCCTCCCGATGTCATCAAGGAGCAGGCTGCCCTTAAGAGGGCTGAGAAGGCGGCGGCAGCTTACCGTGCCGAAGTGAGACGCAATTCGATGGCGAGAATTCAGGCTCAGGCCGAGAGCGAGAACAGCAGTGCTCGGTCCATTTCCACGCGAGGAAGTAACAGAGTCTACGAACTGGAAACGGTTGTTGAGGATCCAGAAGATCATAAAGACAACATCCGAAGCGGACCCCGAGACGAAGTCAAGTTCTCCGTCATGCCTGGCAGCCCCCTTCGGGATGTCGATTACCCGTCACCTCCTACTCGCCCTCGGAATGCAAAGCTTCCTGACGAGACACTCAAGTCCGACCCCGCCGATTACGACATCAAAGAACGTCGACGAGACAGCTGCCCTAGGCCCGATACCGGTTCCAAGGTGTCGGCAGTCCTTCAAGAGCGACCGTCGATGCCCATCATGCCCCCTCCCCCAACCCTCGTTGCTAAGCAAGCCCCCGACGATCAAGATGACACCTCCCTCAGAACTTGGGAGCTTTCTCAGGCCAACACTCAGCGCGACAGCCAATCCATTCTCATTGTCCAGTCCGAAGATGCCGCCACTGGACTGACACAGGACACCACCCAGTCCAACAACGTCTCTGAGAGTCAGCACCAGTCCGACGAACGCGACAAAGAGGTCCCTCAGAGCAACGATCAACCCAAGGCAACCTCTGAGGTCGCCACTGCATCTGATCGCTCGCGGGCTTCGGAGTCCTCGCAGTCTCAAGACGGCAGTGCTTGGAAGGTTTGGTTGCTTGCTCAGAAGCTTGGCTCCCAGGAGAACTCGGTTGCCGCCGCCAATGAAGCCGCCGCGCAGACCGAGGTCGTGTCCTCTGGCAATGACGAGGCGAACTCCAAGGTCCTGGGCTCTGCTACTCTTACCGGCTCGGGAACCTCAGGTCAGCTTACCATCAGAGCTCCACTCAACTCGCCTGACTCCAACTCACCAGACTCTCCAATCGATCTCCAGAGCGCCTTGGTGATGAACCTGGAGATGGAGAACGAGATGGATCGCATGATTCAGCAAGCTGAGGAAGAGGGCGCGCTCTGCCAGGAGCGAGCCGCCGCGTACTTTTCTCAGCAGGCCATCAACCACGGCCAGCTCGACAATTCGCAGCCGTCTCCGCAGGTATCCGAACAAGATCAGATGCAGGATTCCAACACGACTGTGAAGGATCAGGATGGTCCTCAGGTTGCCTCAAAGACGGTCTCATCCTCAGCGATGCCTACGTATCCCTCTTCCTCAGTCTACTCTTCGACCCAAAACACGCGCCCACCTTCATTCTCGACTTCAAAGGATGCAAGCAGCGACGAGAACAGTCGCTACATCCTCGAAAGCCTCAAAGGGATTGAATTTTCCCCATTCGCCGGTATGCTTTCTTACGCAGTATCTGCCTTTCAGGCCGCTAATCAGCAAGCAGTTTCTGGCAATCTCCGATTTGAGCGCTCTGATGACAGCTACCGAACAGCTATGAGCAAGCGTTCTACTTCTGATGCAGCTCTTCCTTCTGTTGCCCTCCCCTCCGAAGAGATTGCCCGTGACGAGAACAATGCGAAGCTGGAGACTCAGATCGAGACTCAGACTGAGACTCATTCCGAGGCGCCCGCTAGCTCCCAACTCCACAGCCGCAAGTCGTCGTTCCTGCAAATCTTGCGTCACCGCAGCCCATCTGGTTCCAAGGGTCATAGAAAGTCGAAGAGTCAGCCTTCTGCGAACCTTGCCCCTTTGAACACTTCGTCCGAGTCCTTGGAGGTTCAAAAGCGCTCTGGCCATCTCAAGAAGCTATCAAACCTCAGCATCAGGTCCAACATGCAGCCCATTTCCACCACCGAGGCTTTCGTTGCCCCGAAGCTGAACGAAAGCACTACAATTATCTGGAAACGAGCTTTTGAGGTTGAGCACCATCAGCGTGAGAAATCCGCCACACCCTCTTCGATTCGGGTCAGCAAGTCAGCCACACCTGGACAAGCCTCGGCAGGAGTTGATGTGACTTCTGCCCTCAAGCCCAACGATACGGCGGTGGATGCTTCCCTATCTCCAAAGCCCACTGGTCTGCCGGCTTCTGCGACAATGGTCTTGGTTGGGGCTCCAGAGACGGAGACGACCGAAGCAGCGGTTGGCACCAACTAGGACTCGGGCCATCCAAAGCTAGCCACCCCTCCCGCATCCTGGGCTAAGTGGGCTTCGCATACTCGGGCTGAGCGCACTGCTGCTGCTGGATCAGCCGATGATGTGAAGCAAAAGGATTTCGCTACCGTCACTGCTTCGAAGGACAAGCAAATTTGGGTCACTGACAAAGACTCGGCAGAGCTAGACGCGGAGGTCAACCAGGGCACTCAGTCTATCTCCAAGAAACTGGGCAAGGCGATGAAGACCGGCCTGAACAAAATGGTCGCATCCAAGTCGAAGAACAAGCAGTCTGCTCAGCTGGAGTACCCTGAGCTGGAGATTCTGCCGACCAAGGATGGATACAAGGATCTCAAAGCTCTTGAGGAGAGCATTGCAGCGATGAAGAGCAGCCAGCGTGCTAAGATGGCGACTAATCCTGCTCTGGCCATTGCTGAGGTGGAAAACGAGTCGCAGCAGTCTATCAGCAGGACATTGCCTACCCAGATCTTGGAGGCTGAGCATGCCAGACACGAGTCTGCTGATGACGCTGACTCCAGCTCTGGTAGACACAACATGGTCGCTAACCCGATCAGTGATGGCATGACTGTTCGCCCTGTTACCCCGGCCAACCTTGTGGCTCCCCAGACTGATGGCTCAGCTACCGCGACTACTGAGAACTGGGTCACTCCAGTTAGCCGCATGTCTGATAGCCCTGCTTCGGGAGCGAAGGGCGGGTACGACTCCGAGGCAGAAGACAATGTCTCCATTGGCAACTCGAAGTCCATCACGAAGGCTTCGGCTTGATTTTTCAGTTCACACGTTTTGTTCTGTGTATCCAGAGAACGTCGAGCAAACCCAGTCGATCTATCCTGACGATGGGAGTTGCAAGAGCAAGTATCAGGCAGGTCTACGCCTCTTTCGATCAAGATACATCTGCTAATCAGCTGAGACAGGAACACAACGACGAGAAGCAGAACTTTTGGTGTTTTTTTTCTGCTGCTTGGCAAAGAGCAGCACTCATGGCTTGGCAAACGATGGTTATGCCCGACAAGGGCCAAGAATGTTATGAATAGACGAAGTGATCTTGTGGCTTGGAGAACGCCTCGAAAAAGGACCGTCGAAGGGCATGGATCACATTTTTTGTACGGTATAGGGGGTGACGGACGTAATTTTCCCCAAGTGTATAAGTTGATAGGCAACGAATTTTAGTGGTAACTGAGGCCCGAGTAAGAATGTGCGTGATTTGACTTGCATGATGTGGCATTCGCGAAGCCATCCGGATGTCTTGCACCGGCCATGCTTGCGTAAAGACTTGACTTGATAAGAACATCGGATACTATTTTGTTTCCTCGCCTGGCTCTCCACGCCCGTCTGCGCTTCACGGCCTGGGCGACCACTTCACTGTCACCAGGCCACACGTACGAGGGCTGCGTCGCGCCTGAGGGATCGGTGCTGTGCACCGAGGCTCTCAGAAAGAACCGTCATCTGCTAACGACGCCTTTCATGTTCTCGAGTCTGTCTCCCTCGACGTCCATCGCTGCCGGTATTCTGCGCCGACACAAGCGGATCGATCCTGGCTGAGGTTTCGGGATCGCCCTCGTTGCTTGACTGTTCTGTGTCATTCGTCTCGCCTTGGTGAAAGTCGGACTCGGCAGAGGGATTGACACGTCTGAACGATTTCGAGAATCTCGTAGGTATTGAGGAGATCTTAGACGAAGTCCAGTTGCGGCTCGATTGTTCGTGAGGTCAGGTGCAAACGGTCGTCGGATAGGAAAGGGGTTGGTTACATCAGAACGAGTCTGTCGCGGACGGTTCGATTTTACTGTCCGCGTTGTGCGAGTTTTGTCCCATTATGGTATCAATGTCGAGAGGCCATAACATGACGATCGACCTTAGTCTACTAGAGCACAGATGATAGTGAATGCTCAATGTGGCCTTGAGCGGTCATAACTCGTAGACTTGAAAATCCCTGGGGCTAACGATACCACGGGTATAGCCTTCACCCCGTCCGTCCGTCCGTCCCTGTTGTACCGACGCCTTCATCGTAACTCCGCATGCGAATTATTACCCCCAAGCCGTAATGCTGACCGAGACTCCCGTAACAATGTCATCATAAAGGACTCAACCAAACAAGACGTTTTCGTAGCTCTGCTGGTCCAAGTGCTTAAACAGGACATCTTGCAGCGCAGCTCTGCTTTTTCCGATTTGCGGGACAACACCTTCAATCTGCTGGAGATTGTTACGCATGCTCTCCATGTGACTGCCGACCTGGCCCGCCAGCCCGCGCAGCTCTTCGTCCTCGAGATCCTATTCCAAGTCAGAACTGGGTATTTTGCACGGGGTATGAGAGATTTTACCTTGAAGAGGGTACCGCCCACGTTTTCGCCGGGGACGAACTTAAAGTCACCGTCGCGTCGGGACCCGTCGTTCACATGCTCGGGAATGAGGACGTGAGTCTTGCGGAGGTTGTCTTTGAAGTGTCTGGCCTCGGACTTGGCATTGGCCTCCAGCTTCTTGAGCGACTCGTATTCCTCTTCCAACGCCTTCTCCGCGAGCTCTTTTTCTTTCTTCAGTAGCTCGACGGCGTGGATCGCCGGATCGAGCTGGCGCTCGAGAGAGGCGATGCTGTCCACGATCCGTTCGAAGTCGAACTCCTCCAGCCGGCCGTTGTCTTCGTTCTGCTTCTTCGCGGCGCTGGCGCCGGCGCGTGGTGGTACGGAGGCCGGGGGAAAGGGCATGCCTCGGGATAACTTCCTGTTCAGACGGTTTGTTATACCGCGCATGACAGAAGCGGCCGATTCACGGCGCTTGTCGTTATCTTTCAGGCGCTGGAGGACTGGCCGCTCGGCGACGTGGAGGATGTTGGAGATGAGGGATAAAGAGGAAGGGGCTAGAGGAGACCACTTCTCCTCCATGGTGGAACGTGAGATATGGCGCATGCGGGTCGTGATGTGGTGGTGTTTTAGTGTTGGGAGACGAGATTTGGGGGTAGGAGGTTCCTGTTGCTGCTGCTCCCGATCACCGGAATTCCGCCGACGGCCTTTCTTGGGCTGTTCTTCTGACGCATCCTCTGAGGGGCGTTTCTTGGATTTTCGTGGTTTCGAGGCCTGCTCTTCTGAGTTGTTGGGCTGTTGCTCCAGGGCATCTCCCGTGGAGCGTTTCTTGGACTTGCGCGGTTTCGAGGCTTGCTCTTCTGGACTCTGGGGAGTGTCTGATTTGCGTGGACGGCCTCGACGACGGCGTTCTGAGTCTGGCGAAGGTTCCTCTTGCTCCTCGCCTTGGGACGGCCTCTTCCGCCGTCTCTTAGTTGGCTTGTCTGCTGATGGGTCCTCGGCCGGGGAAGGTTGTCCAGGTTTCCGTCTGCGAGGCTCCTTTGGCTCTGCATGTGAGGTCTCCTGGCTGTCCTCCTGTGATTGGAGGGAGGGACGGCCACGCTTTTTCTTGGCAGGTGCCTCTCTTTCGGGAGAAGGCTGGTCCTGTACCTCCGCTGCTGGTCGACCGCGTTTCCGGTTGGGAACCGTTTCGGTGGCCTCCTCCTCTTCCGCTGTGGGCTCTTCAGTCTCTACAGCTTTCTCCTTTGGTTTCCTGCCTCGTTTCTTAGGTACCGACTCCTCTCGAGTTTCTTCTTGTTCTTCAACCGCGGGTTCTTCTGTCTCGGGAAGCTTGTCCTTTGGCTTCCTGCCCCGCTTCTTGGGTATTGACTCCTCTTGAGTTGCGTCTTGTTCTTCTGCTAAAGCCTCCTTGTTCAAAGAAGGCCGGCCACGTTTCTTCTTGGGGGCTGTCTCCGGCTCCGGTTCCTCCTCGGGTTGTTCTTCGACCACCTTGGCTGGACGTCCACGCTTTTTCTTCCCAGCATTGGCAGCACTTGCCTCTTCAGCATCTGCCTCTCCAGCTTGGGCCTCGTTCAACTTCTTGGCCGCTCTCCGGTTGGCTTTGCTCGGTCTCGGCTGCTCTGTAGAAGGAGAGCTCTGTTCTGCATGGTCTTCGTTGGTCACTACGGGCTCTTTGTTCCGTCTCTTCGGCCGTGCAGGCTCGGCATCTTCCTCGTTCGTATCCCCATCGACCTCTTCACGGCGCGGCCTGCCCCGTTTCTTGAGTTTCGATTCACCTGCGGGAGGAGATGGCTCGGTTCCAGACGCTTGCTCTGGTGATTTGTTCTTGGGAGGTCTTCCGCGTTTTGGTTTGGGGGTTTCCTCGGCGTCGTTGGCAAGCTCATTAGGCTCGTCGTCTGCGGCGCTGTGGGAGACTACCGACGCGTCGTTTGTCTTTGACGCGTTGGGAGGCCGACCGCGTTTCCTCGTTTGCTCTGCAGCTTTTGGCGGCTACGAGCGTGTAAGTGAGAGCTTGCCGAGTTGAAACTCAGACTTACCATCTTGAAGGCATGCGCTTGTGTTTGTGCTGCTTGCGCAATTGCAGATGCTTGGAGTTGATCCTACTTGTTGAGACGCGTTTCGGTAGGTCCCCCTCTGAAGTCAGTGTGGCTGCAGTGGCAGCTGTGGCAGCTGTGGCACCTGGTGGCTGCTACCCCGGACCGTCGTTCCACTGCGATCCCCGACAGTGACGCTGACCAGGTCCTCATTGGACAGCATGTCCATCCGGGAAAGACCGTGTGGGGAGGCGTGGGTGGTGTTCAGTGTTCTGCAGCTCCTGGCCAACGGGTTTCACGGGTGTTCTGGAGCACCGTAGCGCCCCAAGCTCCTTGGCCGTGATTTCCCAGTCGGATCACCAAATGACCAGGTTCAGTCAGGTCCAGGAGGTGCCAAAGGGTAGGTAGGTAGAACTAGAAGGGTCCTCACTACCTGAGGTACAGATAACTCTGTGCCCCTTCCACTTTTTTTTTCATCCCGACTCTGTGTCCTCTTTAAACATCCAACCAGGTCCAGCTTTTCCTCGTGTTGTGTACACTTTCATACTTATTCCCCCATCCCGTCCAACGTCCCTCCTTGGCCCTCCTTTGGTGTAATCGGCGTCATCTCCCGCTTACCCTTTTTTGTACACCACTAGTTCGCGCCCTTTCCCCTCACGCCAACTTCGCAACCCGTCGCTCGGACGCTTATCGCGACATCTGTCTCAGGAGCTTCCTCTCAACTCAACACCACACAACCGACAACATGCGCGTGTCCGCCACCACTCTCCTCGCCCTGCCGCTTCTCGCGGCCGCGGCTGAGTCGCCCTTCGAGCAGTACAAGGCCCAGTTCCAGAACTTCCTCAGCTCCTTTGGCGCGTCTGCGCCCAGCGCGAGCACACCGGAGAACCCCAAGGCTGCCACGCCTGAGGTCGCCGAGAAGAAGCTGTCCGTTCTGACTGTCGACAACTGGAAGGAGACCCTCTACGAGCCTGTAAAGGCCGACGCCACGACACCTGAGGAATGGTGGGTTCTGATCACTGGTCGCAACAAGACCTGCTTCGGTAAGTTTGGTCGCATTCGCAACTGTCATCACTACGTGAGTGCTAACTCTCTTCTAGGTCACTGCGATAAGATCGAGACTGCCTTCAACGAGACCGCGGCCAAGTTCGCTCAGCTCCCCGAGTCCCCCCACATGGGTCTGCTCAACTGCGACGACCAGCCTGTCCTCTGCAACGCCTGGTCCGCTGGCACTGCCTCTGTCTGGTCCATCAACATGCTGCCTCCCGGATCCAAGGTCGACATCTGGAGGAAGCGTCTCAACGTCACAACCACCACCTCGGACGACATTGTTGATCTGTGGAAGAAGGGAACCAAGGAGGATTGGATTCTGACTGAGAACATCTTCCACCCCTTCAACAGCTGGGTTGCCGAGAACAACCTGTCTATCCCCGTCGGCTACTTCTTCTGGGCCTTCAACCTCGTCCCGAACTGGCTCTTCATGCTCCTCGTCTCCTTCGGTAGCCGTACCCTCATGAACCGTCGCATGAACAACACAATGAACAACCGCGAGAACGCCGGCGCCGCTGCCCCCGCTGCAGGTGCCGCCAGGTAATCTAATATGATGAGGGCTGTAGAGTGGTGAATGGGAGGCTGAGAGGCGCGGGACTTGAGCATGTCCCATTTTGGACAATGTAGTTCATATAGTAATCGTAGTTGGATCAACTTTTCCCTTCACATGCATCTTGCACGGTTTTGAGACCCTCAATTACGCTGTCCCGGAGCGTCGCGTTGGAGATGCGGCCGTAACGGAGGTCACTCATGGTTCCGACCGTTTGCTTCACAGAATCGAGGAGGGCAGCTTCTTGCGCCTCAAGTTCTCGAATTTCCGCCTCCAGATCCGCTACGGCAGAGTCCATTTCTGGGATGATGGAACTGAGCGTATGCTTGGGATCCGTCTCAAAGGGACCGTAGACCTAGTCACAAGTTAGACAAGCTTCGTTTGGCCCAGTAAGCGATGGGATCTTACCGCTCGTTCGATTTCCAGCTCTTGGTCAACATCCTCTCGGGCAGCTTTGCGACGAGCATTTGCGATAACGCGTCTGGTTCGCTTGCCCTGCTGTTCCTCAAACTCAATGTTTTGCGCAACAATGTCGACTGCAACCCTTCTCTGACGCTGTAGTTCGCGGTATAGACGGCGAATTTGGGGATTTGTTCGCTGCGCTTTTGGAAACAGCTCTGTGAAGTCCTCGAGGGTGATGATGGACGGCAACTCGGCCGGGGTGGTGAGATAGTTTTGGAGGATTTCGGACTCAGAGGGAGCCATGGTAGCTGAATGAGACTCGGCAGTACGATGAGTGGATGTGCAGAGAATGAAGAGATGTCGGTTTCCCGAAGAGATCGTCGTTTGGAACGAAAAGGTTACTGTTGTTGTTCCTTAAGGTGGTAGGGCAGGGGTGTGTCTAGATGAGGTGAGGTGCCTTCCCGCAAGTGGCGCCCGTGTGTGCCTGGGCAGGACGGGGAGAGACTGGACTGGACGCGATTGCTCTGGCGGGACGCGTTAATGAGCCGCGTTTCACTCCATAGAAAGAATTCGCCTTCCCTTCTTCATCCCAACACCAACCGACCTGCATCACCGAGAACTTATTTCCAACGACCATCGTCACGGTCCAGCATACTCTACTTGCAGAGACACCAACAGTAAGATTTCTTTCCGCGCCAAAATATTGTTGATTGACCGGATGCTAATCGGACCAACAGGTCGATACTGTGCTAGCGACTCATCGAGCACTGTCGTCCGGATCTGTCCGTACCTTAGGCTCGTACTGTGCCAGTGCATGACAACACGTCGCTAGTCGACTGTGTCTTATCGTCTCGCGCACTGTCCGAGAATTTAACTTCATCACCCCTTTGACCGAGGAACAGTTCTACGGCATCAAACTCTCAGCTCTCATCCGCCACGGATTTTCCGCCGTCCATCTAAGACCATTTTATCAGTTCGAGGCATCTTAGATCATCACACAAACCTTATCAGATCCAACATGGCGCCCGCACGCCAACAACCCCCTCAGCCGTTCGCAAAGGACGAGAAGGTCCTCTGCTTCCATGGCGAGATGCTCTATGAGGCCAAAATTCTCGAGATTCAGCAGGCCGAGAGTGGCGAGGGATTCCAGTACCGCATCCACTACAAGGGCTGGAAGAACACCTGGGACGACTGGGTCTCTATCGACCGTATCCGCAAGTTTACTGAGGAGAACAAGGAGCTGGCCAACCAGTTGCAGGCCCAGATGAGGGACCTTCGTCAGAAGAGCAGCGCCAAAGCCCCCAAGAAGGGCCTTCGCGCCAACGGCACCGACTCGCTACGTGGTAGTGAGGAGCGAACTGCTGGAGTTGCTGCCAGCGGCCGAGGCCCTCGACGTGCGAGGGACTTTGATCTTGAACAGGTGAGTTTTGAAACATCTTTCTCCTTTGTCTTGTCCTTTTGTGTGCATTTTTCGGGTCTCGATTTCTCCCGGTGGTCATTGTGCGGTGTCTGCAGTTGTGGACATCTTGAGAGGTCTCGTGAAACCACGCGTCAAAGAGACCAGGGATGGGCAACAACAAGGGGTGAATAGCTTCATGCCGGGTGGGGCCACCGAGGCCGTTACGCAGAGCCGCAGGTGGACGGTGAATAACTGGCCTTGCTTCATTATATGGGGCTTCTTTACTGAGGTGACTGGCCTTTTTTTCGTCCGAAGGAAGGTGAAAGGAAAGCGACCTGCCTCGAAGCTCTTTCCCACAATCATCTCTCTACCTCGACAAATTCATTTACGCCAGCCACCTCCTCAACACAAAATCTTTTTTCGAATTCTTCAGTCGCTGGCCACGAACTGAATCACCGCAATAACTACTCCTTCGTCCGCTGGGTTCGGATTTCCTCTTCTCTATAATTCCTCCAATTACGGCAACTTTTGCATACCATTCCACCAGCATTACACATCAATCAGCATGGCGACTTGGATCGGTGACTACATTGGCAACTGGGACGCGTCCTGCGTGAGCTACCCCGGAGACAACCACTACGGCTGGGAATCCCCTACGAACCAATTATACTTGAACGACGACGAACGCTGCTTGCGTGACCCCTCTCCGGTCCCGCAAGGTTTTGCTCAAGGCTCATATGGTTTCGCTGCGGCTCGCCGCCAGCAGAGCCCCGTCTATCGTTACCGCGACTGCACGCCTTACCCCTCCGAAGATGCGAGTGCCTGGGCCAACGAAGAGAACAGTGTTGAATACGATGAGGAAGAGGACTCAGACCCTGCTGATCCTCCCTTTCCCCACTGCTACGACGAAGATGGTGAGCCGTGGGCGAACAACGACAATGACCTTGGACACGATGAAGCGGACGAATCAAACGCTGCTGAGTCTCTCTTTCGTCATTGCCACGATGACGCTGACGCTCCCTGCCGTCACTGCTACGAAGACGAAGATGGCAAGGTCTGGCTCTACGACGAGGAACGTTTCGATGACGATGAGATCGAGCGACGTCACGATGAGTTCCAGCAGCTATGGAGCAACGTCAGCTGGGAACGAAGCGCGCGAGACCAGGAGGACGCCCCGATCTCACCCACCAACACGATTGGCAGAGCTCCCAGTGTCGTTAGCGATTGGAGCTACACAAGCGACTCCACCGCTTCCAGCGTCGAATTTCTTTGGGAGTCAAAGAAGAATTCTGACGCCAGCGCCTTTACCGACATTTCATCAAGCGACACTTCGGAGCCAGACAGCCTCATCAGCCTTGATTCCCTGCAAGACCCAGCTGCCCAGACCAGCATGGCCGAGCAACACCGCTGCGGACGCATGGACAGTGAGAACAGGAGCAACAAGCGAAAGCGGGACGAGGAAGATGACGATGAGATTGTTTTCCTCTTCGAGTTCCAGCGCAGTGTTCGATCCAGACACTACTAAATCCAACCTTCAGCCAGAAAGGCGCGCGCGCGGCTGGTTCCGCCGGTTTACGCTTTGGCACTACGATGGAGGGATTGCACCTTCCTCAAGCCACTCCCGCATCTATACATCGATGCTTCGCGCGCTTCACCCAACATTGTTTCGTTTTTTCCGTTCTCCAAAGCTCCTTCACAACCATCCGCTTCGACCTCAGTTCTTCCCATTACATCTCGAAAGAGCATATATATATGATGGCTTCGCAATCTACTCCTCGAACTCGCAAGCCACGCAAGGGCGCCGCGGCTTGGCGGCTACCGGCAAACTGCAAACAAGTCGCATGGAAGGAGCCGCGACTTGTGTCAGATCACCTCTGTTCGCCAGTTCCTCGCAGCAAAAGCTATGTCACGAAGAACGGCAAGATCAACTTCGACGATCGCTACGATATGTCCAAAATTTGCAAACGGAAACGGCCAAAGAGGGAACAACTTGACCGCCAGAAACGCAGCCGCGTCTCTCCTCCATGCGATGAGGAAACGGCATTCAAGGAGGAAGCGGAACCGGATATCAACACCATTATAAAGCCAGAACCACCTATCAGCGTATGTTGGACTGGAATCACCTGGGAGAAATCGCATCATCGATTGCCAAGCGGCTTCGATCTTTCCGTTTTTGATTCTGCGTTGCGTTTACGTGCCTGAGCCTGCTCAGAATACTAACCCATCAACAGGAGGACAGTTTCCATGCCCGCCCATCCATTAAGTTGGCCATTCCTGATCATATCAAGGCGATGCTGGTGGACGACTGGGAGAACATCACCAAGAACAACCAGCTTGTTCCTCTCCCTCATCCTCATCCTGTCGATGAGATTTTGAACGACTATCTGGCCTACGAGCGTCCCAACAGAGACGATGGTTCTGCGAACATGGACATTCTTGAGGAAGTCGTCGCCGGTCTTCGTGAGTACTTTGAGAAGTCTCTCGGCCGCATTCTTCTGTACCGGTATGTTCTCAGAAACACTTGGACCTCTGTAACCCTGACTAACGCCATAAAAGCTTTGAACGCCCTCAATACCACGAGGTTAGAAAGGTGTGGGAGAAGGCCAAAGAGGACGACAAGCACAAGTCTGTCTGTGACACTTACGGTCCTGAGCATCTTTGCCGCCTGATGGGTATGTCTGCACAAACTCGTGGTCGGACTGTTCACTAACAAGAAGAAGTCTCTCTGCCGGAACTCGTTGCCCAGACCAACATGGATCAGCAGTCCGTGTCCCGCCTGCGCGAGGAGCTTTCCAAGCTCACCGTCTGGCTCGGCAAGAACGCGAAGAACTACTTCGTTAGCGAGTACGAGACCCCGTCTCAGGAGTACATCGACAAGGCTCGCGGGTTCTAGAAACCTGGACCTGATGCCGAATCATCTTGAGAACACTCCTGTGGGTGGAGTACAACCTGATATCTCAACTTTGCACCTCGTTCCTTCTCCAGTATTGGATTCCATTCTTTACAGCAGTGGAGTGAGGAAGGATTAGGGATAGCAGAATGGGTATCATCGCAGCAACATGCTGCTCAGGCTCCTGACCGGTATGAAGGGTTGGGGATACATAATTATTTTGCAGAGTCACCCGGGAAAGGGTCCTCTGCACTGGGCAGGAAAACGGTTCATGGTTCTTAGCACGTCGATCTTACTTTTCTTTCGTGATTCCCCGCAAATAGTCCGGTAGCCATCATCATAGCTGGCGACCAAGGATCAATGGAACCGATCAACACGGAATGAATGTCCAAAAAAATGAGTGAACTTTTGATGTATTCCGCATAAAACTACGCCCTTATTGCGGGTCGTAGGTGTTGTACATTCCGTCATACTTTTGTACAGATCTTCGTGGTGATGGTACACGATCAGACTCTCCTCCAAATCCCATGGCCAGTAATTTGGCCAGTAATAATACCTGGTCCTCATCCGCCGGAAGCAGACACCTGTTTCCCAGATTTCCATATCATGTCTCCTCGCAAAAACTTCACCACCCTGCCCTCCCCAGACCGGCCTGGCCTGGCCTGGTTTCCCTCCTAACCCGGCACCTCCTCACCGGGCGACGGCCTTCTCGACGTAGAAACCGGGGTCCGGCCTCCTCTCCTCCTTGACCTCGTATTTCGTCTTGGCGCGGTCGACCTCCTCGACCTTGACCAGCTCCTTGACCTGCATGATCATACCGGCGAACTCGGGCTTGACGGGGTGGAAGACGGTCTGCGTGCGGCGGTGCAGGCCGAGGGACTCGAGGACGGCGCGCGTGCTCTTGGGCAGGCCGATGGCCGAGCGGTGGAGGGTGATGCGGAAGAAGGACATTGTTGTTGAGGTTGAGGGCTCGCGGGGTGTGGTTCTCGGTGCGATCGCGTGGGTTTTTGGTTTAGTGTTTTTCTGCGGGCGAAATTTAGTCAAGTGTTCGGGTATATGATGGGTGTACAGATTGCATATACTTACGATTGAGTGACTGCCGAGGCAGTTCCGTTCTCCCGGTACCGCTGGTGTTCTCGAGCTTCGCAACTTTGTCTTTCGTCGTCGATGCGATGACCGCCGTCGAGGGATCCAAAAATCATCGAAGCTGCTGCCATTGGGATTCGGATGGTCTGTGCGTTTCGTTGCGACGGAACTTACCGGACGAGATGGGTCCACATTTTGCTCCCTCAGGGTGGGTTAAAAATGCAGTGAAATAATGAACCTCATTGAACCTCAAGCAATGAGCCTCAAGCAGATGATCTCACTCAGCTCTTCGATTGACTTGGGCGATATGTTTCTTTCTTCACACATCTGCTCCCTCAGGGCGGGCTTAAAATGCAGTGAAACCTTTTTCCACTTCCGACTCCTTGCGCTGGGCCCAGCAAGAATTCACATTGGATAGCTGCTCCCTCAGGGTGGGTTAAAAAACGCAGTGAAATCTCAAGACCTGTCACCGCTCAACTTCCAACTTTCCAGAGCAGACTTGGCGATTTAGATCTAGTCTTCGCTCCATCGGTGACCAAGGCTTTTCTCCGTATGTACTCTCTCAAGACGGCGCAAACTTGTAATACTTTTGGTGTAAGCGACGAGAGTCTACATGTCTTATCAACGCAACTAGAAAGGACACCCCGTTAACGAATGGTTATTCACGCGAGGGTATTTCAGCGTGGATGAACCTGACGCCTTCCGTGATATCTTCCATCGTCAGTCATCGTCTCCAGGTTTTCTGCTTGAACCCACCCTGTATCATCAACGCCAGTAGCAAGCATGACTGATAATCGCTGCTTTTTCTCATTTCATAAACAACGTTGTCGCAAACTTTGCTGCTTCCAAGTTGTACACGCTTCAATGGAAGTTGAAATGTAGTAGCGTCCGCAATCAACCAACTCCAGCCTCGGGGAAGCGTATCAGTTGATGTCGCCGTGTTCAAGCTCAAAACAACTTGTCAATAAGTTATCAATTAATTCACTCTGGACGAATCTCTCCCATTGACCACTCCATGATGAATACATCTTCTCCTCGCATCTCCAATCAATGTCCCTAGCAAGATGGACTTGCAAGCTCCACATCCCCGGCGCCGGACCTCCAGCCGGTGTCCGCATCAGCCGTACGGGTACAGTCCCGAGCTTACCATACTTCTGAGAGTGGCGGCCGCGTCGTTCAGCGCTTCCACACAAAGCAGAGGGGAGTTGCCCAGCCCGATAGGAGGACTGAAGGGTCTTGGCTGCAGAGAGGTCGCACGAACTCTTTGCGGTAGCCCCGACAGCTTGTTTTGGAATCTGAGCTGATCAGCTTTGAAAGATTGCGTCGACTATTATGTGCCGGTCGCCCTAATTGTGGCGGCAGTATTCGTCCTGAACAGTATTCAGTGGAACCTGCAACATGTTGGTTGAGGCGATTGCCCGTATGGAGCATGTCACTGGAGAAAGATCATTGGATGATGAAAACGGGCAAAACCATTAGTATAGTCCCTTGGGACTACCAGCACTACACGTATATAGCTTGTCGTACAGACGCCATTTAGCACACCATCATCCCACGTATGACGTTAAAATCATTTACTCCATTTCTATAGCCACATCCCGTGGCGACCCATGATCCTCCTCTGAAATCCGTTATTCCCTTACATCTGAACCTCAACTCTGCCTTCAGTGCCTGGCGGGCCGGAGCCGAGCTGGGGGAGGATGTAGGTAATGTCATCCCACGGGTGACGGTACAGACCAGTGCGCAGTCTCTTCTGGTCGAGGTAGTGGGCAATAAGACCGATGGAACGGCCGAGAACGAACAGACCGTTGAGGACACCCATCTTGAGGTAGTCCTCGGCCTCTTCGGAGGAGAAGGCGCCGCAGTTGCGCATGAGGTCGACGAAGCAGACAGCGATGCAACCGTCGACGTTGAGAATAAGGTTGTCCTTCTTGGAGGTGGTGACACTCTCGACCGCCAGGGCGTAGTCGAGGAGCTTGTGGCTGGGGAACTTGGCCAAGACGTACTCCTTAACAAGCTCGACACGGAGATCGGGGTTGTTGCGGGACTTGACACGGTGACCAATACCGGGGATGAGCTTGTTCGCCTTGCGCATGTTGTCGACGAACTCACGGGGGCTAAGGCCCTTGTCGAAGGCCTTGGTGAACTCCTCGGCGGCGCCGTCGAGGGCACCACCGAAACGAGAACCAATGGTCAACAGACCGGCGACGAGGGAGGAGATAAGGTCCTTGCCGGCACGGGTGGTGATAATGGTGTTCATGGCACCGGACACGGCGGGACCGTGGTCGGCAGTGAGCATGAGAACCATCTCGAGGAACTTGGAGGCGTAGGGGGGCAGGCGGCGGCGGAACCACAGGAGGGACATGACACCACCAATGCCAATCTCTTCCTTGAAGACGTCCGAAATGGGCATGCCAGCGTACAGGAGCTCCTGGCCACGGTCGTCGGAAATGGTGGAGATGAAGGCAGCGGGCTTACGGATGAGACCAAGCTCCTGGGCCCAGGAGTAGTCGATGGGGATCTTGGGAACGACGGGCTCAGGCTGGGGCTTGATGGTGCCGTTCTTGACGAGGCCGTCGTAGACAGCCTTCAGGACCTGGGGCATGTCCTCGAAGGTCTCGGGGACGTAGAAGCCAGCCTCCTTCATCTTCTCGTTCTTGGTCTTGGCCGTCTCCAGGGTGGAGTTGGCGAAGGCACCAGCGTGACCGAACTGAACCTCAGTCTTGAACATGCTGGCGCAGGTACCAATGGCCCAGGCAACGATGGGCTTGGTGATGACGCCGTCCTCGACGGCCTTGATGACCTTGTACTCCTCAACACCACCAACCTCACCGAGCAAGACGAGGATCTTGCACTCGGGGTCGGCCTGGTACCTGAGCAGGTGGTCGATGAAGGTGGTACCAGGGTATCTGTCACCACCAATGGCAACACCCTCGTAGACACCGTCGGTGTTGTTGGCAATAATGTTGTTGAGCTCGTTGGACATACCACCAGACTTGGAGACGTAACCGACGGAACCCTTGCGGTAGAGCTTGGAGGCAACGATGTTGTCCATCATACCACCAGTGTTACCGATCTTGAAGCAGCCGGGCTTGATACCACCGACAGTGGCGGGGCCAATGATGGTGATACCCTTCTGCTGGGCCTTGTGGGCGATCTCACGGGCGCGCTTCGAAGCTTGTTAGTAGCTGCCTACGATTTAGGGTGGGAATGGCAGTTACTTACGCGCTCGGGGACACCCTCAGCAATGATGGCAATGGTCTTGATCTGAGGGAATTCCATAAGCTCCATGGTGGAGCTGTAGACACTACGGGAGGAGGCGAAGTTGACGACAACGTCGACGTCGGGGTGCTTGGCAACGGCCTTGTTGACCTCCTGGTAGACGGGCAGGAGAGTCTCGCTGGTTCCCCAGTACATCTTGCTGACGAACTGGCCGCCGAAGGTGTAGATGATACCGGCGACGGAGGGGGTCTTGCGCTTGCAGATGAAGTCGAAGTCCAGCATGCCCTGAACGGCGCGGGGCTGGAGACCGTAGACGAAGCATCTGGTCTTGTCGTTGAACAGAGCGTGTTCGGGGAGAGGGCTCAAAGGACGGCTGGGAGCGCTGAAGCGTGTGATGTTGTCGTTGGCAGACAGGCCGCTGGCTGCCTTGGCGCCATTGGCACCGTTAGCGGAGGGAGTGGCCGCAGGCATTGTGAGAGTCGAGCTTCGTCGGTGGGGGAGATGTCAACGACGGAGGAGAGAAAAAAAAGTCTGGCGAGGGGTAACTCGGTCAGTAAGTGGAAGCAGACAACGGACGCCAGAGACAACAAAAAAGGTGTCTGCCCGGGAGAGGAAGTGACTCCAAGTAAGGATTGAAGAGGTAAGGTAGGAGGTGGAGGAGGAGGAGGAAGTTTGGTGGAAAACAAACGAGCCGG